AAGAGAATGCTATGCCATTCTTAACTGTCTTTGAATGCCCGGAAGAATACCTAAGCAGGGGCTTCTCAGATCGTGGGCTATATAACCAGCAAACATGGTCTGGCTTACGTGTTAACAACAAGTCCAAAAACTGAAGCTGACTTTCCCGTGGCACTTCCCACGTAAACTCGAGGCCCTCGCTGCAGTCCCTGAAAACATTTAAGATATCTACTATAGCCCTGTCAAGTACAGTGTGTTCTACAAAAATTAGGTAATCGTCAACATATCTAAATATGGTCTTTGCAAGGCCCTTTATGTTGGCTTCAATTTTTTTGTTCACGTAACCCAAGAAAATGTTGCTAAGTATCGGGGCCACCTTCGAACCAATGCATATTCCCGATCTTTGTAGGTACAACTCATCATGCCATTTGATGAAAGTAGACCTTAAGTAAAAAGACAATAATTCGAGGAAAGCTCCCACTGAAATGCCGCATTTGTTAACAAATTCGATTTCATCATTATCATCTGTAATGCACTTTCTAACAACTGTCAATAAAGGACCATGTGGAATGTTGTAGTACAAATCCTGAACATCAACACTAAAAAATTGCAAGTACCAGGGTTTGAGGTTGTCAAGAAGGCAACCAACGCCTCCGAGTTCGGTACACAGAAGGGATCTGATACCTTAAGGCTAACTAGCTGCTCTTGAAGAAAGGTAGAAAGATTAAGTTGCCATGAGTCCCTTTCCGATACAATACACCTAAACGGAACGTCAGGCTTGTGAGTTTTTGCTGCAAAAAACAACTCCAGGTGCAAATTTGTCGCACGTTTCACAGTAGAAGCAAGCTTTTCCAGATTGTGGTTCAAAAGTAGCGCGACAGCTTCCTCCTTGACTTTGCTAGCTTTCTTGTTAACAGGAACAAAATTCTTTTTAACTGCCGATAACGCCTTTGTTTGGAAAAGCCCATCAGGTAAAATAACAAAGCAACCCTCCTTGTCAGAGGTCAGAAAACGCAAATTGTTGCTAATGCCAAAGTCCACCAAAGTTCTTACGTGCTGTTGCTTCCCTCTTGTGGTTGACGTCCTCTTTAGAACATCCACGCATTCCGTGATGAAGCGTGGGCGCTCTTCTTCTAACACACGACGAGCAAGGTTCTTGGTGAGCGCCACTTTCTCCGGTGGGGTAAAGGACGGTTCAAAGCAGAACTTTGGTCCTAATCCGAGAATCTTCTTGTAGTCTTTAGGAATGGCACAGTCTCCCAAGGTGATGACTTTCCCATCCGTTGGCTTGGGTTTTTTTTGGCCTAGGTAAGTGTGGCCGGCTGTTGTCCCATAACCAGTCCGCTACTTTGTCAGACGTCTTACACCAATCCCTGAAGAACTTGTTGTGCGATCCTCCCTGTTGTGTGGCGCACACTACTCTGAGACAATCCTTGAAATGCCTCGCTTGCCGCCACCATTCCTCATTCAAAATCCTGCATATACGTTTGGCGTGCTTAGACGAAGGTTGTAAGAAACCACACATGCCCTGCAGTTCCTTGGGGCACAAATTATACCTTATATGCCAGGATGCCTCTCTTGCCTTGCACACGCAAATCGCCATCATTGAAGCCAGGGTACACGGGTCATGCTGATTGAAGAAGCCAGAACATATAAAAGAGCCCGATGTAAAGGAAATGAAGTTCAGTAACACCGAAAGTTGGGCGAGTTGGTGATTGTTCATGATTACAAATAAGCAGCGCACGACGTTTTACACAAAGAGAGACGATAGGGACACCGCTGCACTCTCAACTAGTTTATTTCGTAAACGACCTTGGTTATTATACAACAAGACGGTGTACCACGTGCTACAATGACAACGTATTTTCTAAAAAGCCAACTTCGCAATCGCTCAAAGTAATCGATGCTTGGCTTATACAGTAATCTTTTCTTTTTGCGATGTGGAAGGCCTCGATCACTTCCCTTGTCATCTTATCTCTGTGGCTGGAAAGAATTTTAGTCTCAGAGAACAGCGGGGAACAGCCACATTCTAAGCAATGCCGTCTTAAGTGCGAGTAAGCATTATTAGCTAATGCTCTCTTGTGCTCCGTTAACCTTGTATTTATGCACCGGCCTGTTTGACCGATGTACATTTTCCCACATGACATGAGCAAACAGTAAACCACCGCGGTTCTGCACTCAACAAACAAAACACTGTGCTTAACAGAGCACCGACACCTATCCTTTTTTGTCAATCGCTTCCTATCTAGCCTAGCGCATATCTTTCCTAGTTTGTTAGGTGCAGAAAAAACAACTTGTAAGCCATACCGGCTGCCTACATTCTTTAGATTATGTGATATACTGTGCGCATAGGGTATGGAGACACATTTCTTTTTCCTTTCTTCATAATTCCTCTCAATTTGAGGCTGCTCCGAAGATATATTCTTGCGCACACGATGAACCAACTTCTGTGCGGTTCTGCGCAGAACATGCTCTTCGTAACCCGCACTAGCCAATCTATCTACTTGTCTGATGAAGCTATCATTAACTTTGTGGGGACAAGATTTGGCCAAGGCAGCGCGGAGACAAGAGAATGCTATGCCATTCTTAACTGTCTTTGAATGCCCGGAAGAATAGCTAAGCAGGGGCTTCTCAGATCGTGGGCTATATAACCAGCAAACATGGTCTGGCTTACGTGTTAACAACAAGTCCAAAAACTGAAGCTGACTTTCCCGTGGCACTTCCCACGTAAACTCGAGGCCCTCGCTGCAGTCCCTGAAAACATTTAAGATATCTACTATAGCCCTGTCAAGTACAGTGTGTTCTACAAAAAGTGTGTTCTGTATAAGCCAAGCATCGATTACTTTGAGCGATTGCGAAGTTGGCTTTTTAGAAAATACGTTGTCATTGTAGCACGTGGTACACCGTCTTGTTGTATAATAACCAAGGTCGTTTACGAAATAAACTAGTTGAGAGTGCAGCGGTGTCCCTATCGTCTCTCTTTGTGTAAAACGTCGTGCGCTGCTTATTTGTAATCATGTGTTGTGGGGATTTACCTGACAAAAAAGCATGCTTTCATGGAGCTGGTTTTACGGATGAGGTCAAACACTCTGTGGTTGATCGGTGTCGCGAAGAGCATGTCGCGCTAGTGCGAGAATCTCTAATTTGGCTTTTCGACGCATCCACTCTTACAGAAACATGCATGGATGTTTGCTTTCGAGCCTCTGTTTCGATTGATTGATTTATATGTTGAATTTAACATCCCGAAACCACCATATGATTATGAGAGACGCCGTAGTGGAGGGCTCCGGAAATGTCGACCACCTGGGGTTCTTTAACGTGCACCCAAATCTGAGCACATGGGCCTCAGTATTTTCGCCTCCATCGAAAATGCAGCCACCGCAGCCAGGATTCGATCCCGCGGCCTGCGGGTCAGCAGCCTAGTACCTTAGCCACTGAACCACCACGGCGGGGCGAGCCTTTGTTTTCTTTTGAACAAAAAGTAGTAAATACTTGATGCTCGCCTTACGGTGCTGCTGGCTGTGCTATCCTTGCTGGCTTATGTGCTCAGTAAGTTTGCGTGCGATGGTTTTGTTGAAGTCAATGACAATGTCGTGAGGAAGCGGCTTCAGCAGAATGTGGTAGAACATCGCGGAGTAATTGTCCTCCGATACTCCGAGAGTCTCCATGTCATAAAGGCATCGAAGTACTCTAAGATTATTGGAGGACTGCACGGGTCACATGTCAATGAGTCGGTGCATGTGAGCCTGAGTTAATGACGCCGGTCTTGGCGAAGTGTTGTTTTAAAATGCCCAGGACTTCAGAATAGCAGCTTAACGTTGCTTGAAGTCCAGCGATCACTGATGCCGGGTCACCGGTCAGAACCGAACGTAGGTAGGCGAACTGGTCTACGTCGACGAGCCCACCCTTGTTGTGAAGTAGCTGATTAAAGTGCTCCTTAAAAGATGTTAACGATGACGGTAGACCATCGAAGTTCATGAGGTCGATTTTCGAAAGTTGGATGGCGGCCTGAGGTGTGCGTGGCATGGCTTCAGTTGGGGCTGCCAGTGGTAGTGCACGGTTCTGAGACTGTCGAAGTTGACGTATAGTCTATACTTGAGTTTTGCTGACGTAATTATGGCTCAATCGTTATATATCACGACCTGTTCAAACACAGCCTCTGCTTCCGTGGTTGATAGCAAAGGTACGATGTCGGAATCGGTGGCCTTCAAGTCAGTGTAAAGCTAGTTGAAGCGTTCGTTGAGAATACAAAGCTCCTCTTTTTCCGGGACACTATCTTGAGTGGGCGTTGCTTCTGCCTCTTTTATAACGCGTGTTAATTGAGCTCTCTCATATGTACGCTTCAGTTTGAGAGCATCCATGGTGCGTTTCTGCGTTGAGCACCTGGCTGTAAGTCGGTATCTTCATTCCGCAAGCGGGAAGGCGATTACCCTGGGGCCATCGATGTGGTTCGCTGTTTCGATGGGTTTCGGCACCGTTTGTAGAAAACGGAGTTTCCCATTTAGTAGAAAAAGGGCTTTATTTACAATAGTCCGCAGCCCGACTCTGTGGATTCCCGCTGCAGCACATGATTTCAAGGCCAGAACTGATCACCATCTTCTTCATTGATCTTTTCCCAACAGCACGTACGCCTTTGTCTACTTACTCCTAATGAAGCATTTTAAATCTTTACTTCTATCAGTGTCAGTTGTGCTGTGAAATTACGCTGCACTCGTGTGCTCCCTGATGAACAAGTCAATTTGTCGCATGCAAGATAGACGCTAGGGGCATGTATATTGATTATGTATTGGTCATTGTTTAAAATATACCTGAACAAATTACAAATACCTGTTTTTTTAAACAGCGTGTTACGGCTAATAAATTTGTCGCGCATGGCAGCTCACCTGCTTTTCACTATATACAGTGGTCTTATGGATTCTAATCAAGCACGCAGCATTTGACGAAACCTACTTTTCAAAATCTTTGCAATTTCTGTTGGCGTGAAAGTAACGTCAGCTATTTTCTGGGTAACTGCTTTTCAGAACGACAGGCATGCCGAAGCGATGAGCTTTTGGCGCAGCTGGAAAAGTGTTATGGTGACCACGTAAAATCCAAAGTGATTCCCAACGCCGTCCCTGGCAACGAGCTGGACCAGCTTCGGTATGCCTGCAGGTAAGTCGATATTATTTCCTATATTCATTCCCAAGCGTGCTATTTTCGGCCGGTGCTGCTTATTAAGGAATGTCGCTCTCGTTTCCCAAATCCTCAGTGCACTGAACACATACCAAGAATGTGTGAACGAGGAAATAACGGGTAACTGTGCTGGAAACCAAGGCCAGGTGCTTCTACTAGATGCGGTGAAGAACTACACTTACTCTGTGTACGAACAATACCAATGGGCTTGCGACAATCGTGAGTAAAATCCATATTTCATCACATACTTTTAACAGACAAAAAGTAGAGGCCTTTTGTCTTTGCCAACTACTAAACAGGTCTACAGTTCTATTTTAATACGTAAATTTTTGCCTGATCATCGTCAGTCTTTGTCGTTTAAATATAACACGTGATTTTTTTTTCCTTTCTTAGACCCCGACTGCAACAAAAACAGTCTCCTGAATGAGCTCATCAGTTGTAAAGGAATAATGACGACTAAAGTGATGCCGAATGCCGCTAACATATCCGACATGTCAAAACTGAGTGAAGCATGCCGGTAAGTTTTCGCTGATAACGCTAATAATGTAATAACGCAAAGAAATGTACGCTAGCAGCTTTTGAATATACACCCTTTATTGAGAACATGGCTACACTTATTTCTTTTTAATTATTTTTTCAGGCTTTTTTGTTAGGTGTATTTTACATTACATTTCTTCCTCCTCTGTGAACCTTTGTTTTCATTTTCCTCTTGTTAATTTTTGCATTATTCGCGATACCTTCCTTTTATGCTCTATGTTTTTATAAATATGTTCTTGCTAAACGACTAAAGCCACCGCATTAATTAGATATGATTTTCGCTGTGCCCGAATGCAAGTTAAGGAAGCCTTCAAGCATAAATACGCAACTTTCGTGTGACTCGCAGTGCAGCTGTTTATAGCCGAATGAAAACGAGAAGTGCAGTAGCGGAGAAGAACTGCACGCTCGACGAAGGAGCGCCATTAATAGCACTAATTTAGAGGCCGATTACTTGCTTTGTGCTTGAACGCAATGAAAAGTACAAGAACTATGGCACCTAACGCTAGCTGTATCAGTAGTTTTGGTGGCCTTAGATCGCTTAGGAATGCGTGAGACATGTGTCAACACTTCGACCAGCATCTAGTAGTATTACGAAACTATCCTATACTTTTATACGAGGAATGAAAAAAAGGAGACATCAAAAAAGGTGTAACATAAAGAGATAGCTACTTCTTCATTGTGGTTAATTGCAAGCCGGGTATTCAAACTACTAAATGGGGAAGAAACAGATATAAATAGTAATGAAGAATACCTCAGTAACTTTAGGTTTGCAGATGACCTCATATTCTCCAGCGATATGACATCATGTTGTTCAGCAATGACCACGAGTAACTGCAAAAAAATGCTAAGCACTGCAACTGAGAAAGGGTTAAAGTAGTGTTATACGTGACTATGTATAAGGCAAAGGTCATGTCAGGTGGCCCAGTGAAGGAACGAGAGATCACGATTAGCAACCGATCCCTAGAGTCTGTACAAGCGTTAACCAAATACCAACAGGAGAACCACCTCATGCAAAGGAACTTTACCGAATAAGGTCAAAATTAATTACTTATGGCATACTTTCCCAAATCATGACCGGCAACTTGCCACCGTGCTTAACGCAGGAAGTGCTCAATCATTTCATTATCACCCGCAACAGCGTTACAACATTAAGGGCAGAAACCTGGAGGATACCAAACTCGATAAGAAGCTAGAAGCCACGCAGCGTGCGATTTAATGAAAAATGATAAGCAAAGCGTTATTGGATAAAAAGGGACCAGATTATAGCAAAAATAAAGACAAAGAAAGGCACAAGAAGAAGAGAGCACAGTGCATAGGAATACAAACAAGGTATATCTTTGTTGCCATGAAGACAAAATAACGGAATGCATGGTTCACATAACGTGGAGGACAGCTAAACGATAGTCTGTGAGTGCGATGAAATCGATGCGCACCAATGGATGGAGACGCATCCAAGGGCAGCCGAGAGTTAGCTGGGATGAATAAATGAAGAACTTCGCGTCCATAAAATGTAATTGGCTCGCGCAAGACAGGGTTAATCAGAGGTCACTAGGAAATACCTTATCCGGAAGTGGACATTGAATAGGCTGTCGTTATTGTAGTTAATGACAATATGCAAGGTCCTACAAGCGGTAATACACAAGCCATCGTTTAGCGCTGTTCAGTGAAGCAAGTTCATTCACTTTCCCATGGGGTGCAAGAACGCCCGTGTACTGAACTATGGATGCACATTACACTACAAATCACTAGTGATCGAAGCTACACAGCTTAACCCACGGCCCATGTGTTGCTTTGTAGCTGAGTGGCGTTGAAAATTGGCCGACAACTTCACGTGCACTTCGTGCTGTGTTTTCTGTTACGTAAATGTCTGTTGTGTAGTGCCCCGCCGGCTTGCCTTTCTTGCCGTAGTGCAAAAACAGTGCTTTCCTGTAAGAAAGGGGCGCCGTGGGACTCGACGCTATATAGTCGCTCGAACAGCAGGATGGGACCTGTGCGGCTTGAAGCGGATGGCAACAAAGTAGGCAAACAATGCGCGGTGTCGTTAGCCTCTGCTGATAACCCCAGTTTCTCGTCAACCGCACTGACAAGACGTATCGAATGGCACACACTCTTAACTATAGCCACGCGAGCACCGAGTGGGGCGTGTTCTGCGCTTCCTGCATTTCTACCGCGCTCCTTTTATGACTTCCTTGTATGACCGTGTAATCTGATCTCACTTATCTCTGTTTGCGCAGGGGCACTCTCCTTTACCAGGACTGTGTTCGTGAGAAAATGAACGCTAAGTGCGCCGCGGAATCGCCCGTGTTCCTTCTTCCCGAGGTGGCCTATTTCTCATTTGCGACGTACAACAAGTACAACTGGACTTGCTTCCGCAAACAAGAAGGTATATACAGCTCGTTAAGCCGAGCTTAAATAGCGAGAATTTTGTATATGCCGAAATATTGATCATGCTGAATATTTGCTGCCTCATCCCCAAAATAGGGATCGGGCAGCAAATATAGTCAAGCGTGAATCCAGCGAAATTTTGTTCACACGATGCGCTCATAACATTGACTCCTGAAACTTCTCGGGCTCGTGTTAGCAGGTCTGCATTTCTTTTCATCGTGGTTATTAATTTATCATTTTCTTTGTCTCTACCAGGACGAGTCAGCGATACCGCAAACAAGGCTGGATTAGTGAAACAGTTAAAAGAATGCTATGGGTTCATACTTTTCGGTGTCAAACGTCCTCTTCGAAACAACTTCAAGGACAAAGCGTTGCGTGAAGCCTGCGTGTGAGTTATTAGTTTTTCACTAGGTGGACTATTAGGTTCAGGAGCGAATCGATAATCTACCTTCATTCTCAGGAGTGTGAAGGACTATCAGAAATGCGTTCGAGCGAAGCTCGATCTCTTCACCAAACAACATACGTCATTGCCGGACAGTCAAGATGTGAAGTACTACTCTACACGCCTGTATAGCAAGTACAGTTGGACGTGTGAAAACTTGAACGCTGGGCTAAAGAGTAAGTCTCACGATATCTGCCTGAGATCGCATATGTTGTACACTGACGACGACGATGACTTGTATGTTTCAGGCTACCATTGCAACGTAGATAGGCTTGAGACTGGGCTGAAGCAATGCAAAGGTCTTGCAGATTATGCAGTAGCTCATAATAAGAACAATACAGACCCGAGCAACATTTGCGAGTAAGTACTGACTGCCGGCGTTGCTTTTCATTCAAAAGTAAAACCGCGACAAATGAGTCATAAGCCATCATGTCGCTGAAAAGTTTGCCACTAAAGGGGCCGTTGACTGTGCAAGCCACGATTACGCCGACGGCACGCGAATGAAACTACGTACCTTAATTAGCCCTAATGGGATACATTTGAATGCGATAGCACTGTACAGACAAGCACAATTTTCCGGGTTTGCATCCGAACCACTTGAAACAAGATTTTTTTTCTCATTTATACAATGTCCACTGTTATCGGATAGCGTTTAAGTAGATTCAGAATATGCATTCTATCAGACATGCCTCTAGCCAAGCAGTCCTGACAGTCTCATGTATACGAAGTGCGCTTCAATTCTTCTTTACAACTTAATTTTTTCAATGAATGAATGAATGAATGAATAATTTTTATATCGGTTACTTCTGACATGTTTACAGTACGTTACTGAAAAGTCACCTTCTCTTTAACGAATTTACGCTCACTGAAGTAGCGACGCTTTCCTTCTCACTGAGTACATCATGTAGTTATTATTGACACAGCTGGTATGCACTTACTAATACGCTTGACCTCACACAGTAAATACGAAATATTGTCATACTTTAGAAGCATCCACTCACACATGTTGTCACATCATCCTTTAAAGCGCGATAAAAGACAAGGTGAAAGCGAAATATATAGATCACGCTCTTTTTGGCACTCAGCTTACGCGTTTTTCGGCATTATAAGCACTTCTGCAAGTGCTGCGAGCTTTAATTATTGCCAGTAAATATAACCGTGCTAGTTCTATAATTTACTGTATCTGAAGCTTCTGTGCATGACCACCGCATGATTGGCGTTAACCAAGAATCGTAAATTTATTGAATGTACTAAAGGGCTCACTAGGTTAATGCGTGATATTGCATGCTAGTAGTAGTTGGTGGCAATGCTTCTACCACTGCCATGTATACAAGCGTCACTTTTTTTTCTCTGTCGCTTGCTTCTGCACCCAACTGCCTTGAGATTTCAGTAAGACAACGAACACAGTACAAACTGAATAGTGATAAAAAATCTATAGTCAGACAGAATGGTTGTCAGGTTTTTATGATTTATATTTTAGTTTTACATGTTCAGTCTAAGACAAGCATTACCCGTGAAACATTTCTGAACTAACCCCTGCGGTTTCAGAATTGCACATGAGCAAGCACTGAGTAAATTTTGTTTGTGTAATTGTTATTATTAGCCGTTGGCGTGCGTCTCCAGCGTCCAACACATGTAAGCAATAATGCGAGTGGTGCCGTGAACCCCCTGATTGATTCTTTTTTTTTTCAGGTATTACCTCGATCACCAAACATGCGTTGAAGACCAACTTCAAGAATGCCGGTTTTTTCCTTCGGTGCTCAAGCTTTCGCGCATTCTAAAACATACAAGCCTTCTCAACGACAGCTACAGGAGCTACTGTTCTTTTCTACAGCCAGGTTGGCACTTTGTTTTACCACGTTCACCAATGTCATTTGAACCAGATCGTTAACTTCAATTTCTCGTTAATTCTGTTTTTTTCGTGATCAGATAAGCCGAAGTGTTCTTCTGATACACTGTCTGAGATGTACGAGCAATGTCTGGGATTCATCAGTTATGGAGTCGTTCCAAACTTGGGCTCTGACACTACCGAATTAGACTTGCCTGCAGTCCAGAGGTAGAGCACAATGAAAACTATTGTGGTTTAGTTTATTCTACAGAACGCAAGTTTCGTCATAATTTTAATATTCTTTAAGGTATCTTGACAACTACAAGGGCTGCATACAAGAAGTAACCAAGCTGACCTGCGGGAGCACAGAGATATCGCAAGAGATGCAGATTTCTCTGACGAAGCCCGTACAGATTGTCAAAAAGTATTCTCATTTCATCAGTGCGAGTGAGTTGTCATTTATCATCATCTTCTATTGTATCAAAGCCATGTTTATTTCATGATGTCTTAGTATTCATTTTGCGTATTGCCGTTTCACAGACAACTGTTCTGAAAGCAGCCTCAGCTCCGCATTGCGCGAATGTGATGGTATTTGGGACATTGACGTGGAGCCTTTGTTAAAATACACTGAAAACAGTGATCTCATTCAAGTCTGCAGGTACGTCTGCCTTGCTAATAGAACTTGTCGGCTCGTTCGTGCTTTGTATGCAATTAAAAAAATGAACTTTTTTTGTGTTTTTCAGCTCAATCGAGATATTCGGAAACTGTGTGAAGCAGAAGGTCATTCCTTTATGCGAAAAAATGGAGGTCGCGTCTAGCCACCAAAGTGTCCATGCGTACCTTTCAAATGCTCTTGACGTGTACAAGACGGTATGCTCGAAGGACCTGAATGCAGGTACGCTACTGGGCTTGTGAAGTAACTGATATGTGACCCGTAACAGTGGCTTAAGTGATGTTATTGCTGTTTCAGTGAATGAGGCCATGTGCAGCAAAACGGAACTCGTGTCAGCATTCAGCCAATGTGGAGGCATAATAGAGTACAGGGTTGCTCCTTTCGCCGATGACCCGCACGATAAAGTGAAGCTCGGCGTTGCCTGCACGTAAGAATGAATGTTTACCCGCGCCTAGAATGCCCCCGCCTGCTTGCCTTCTTTGCCGCAGTTCAAGGACAGTGCTTTGCTGTAAGAAAGGGGTGCCGCGGGATAAGTTATATATATATATATATATATATATATATATATATATATATATATATATATATATATAATATATATATATATATATATATATATATATATATATATATATATGTTTGTTTGTTTGTTTGTGTGTGTGTGTGTGTGTGTATTGAGATCTAACAGACAATAATGCCAAGGAATGTATAGGGGAAGTTATTAGAACTAATGGAATGTAAATAAGAAGAAAGAAAAGAGGGTCGAACCCGTTATTCGAAGTTCAAAGGTTCGATTCCTGCTCATGGCTGGTTATTTTTTCACCCTCTTTTCTTCCTTCTTATTTACATTCCATTTGTTGTAATAATTTCCCCTATACATTCCTTGGCATTATTGTCTGTTAGATCTCATTATTATTGTGTCAAAACACGGAAAAAAGAGCCCGTAGGTACACACTCCTTTCCCTTTTATATATATATATATATATATATTTGGTAATAGATGTTATAAGCTGCAGCGCTTGTAACCCATATTTTGTGCATTTTTTGATGTTGTGTTCTTAAAGAACACGCGCTTTCTATTTTTATTGCTTACGTTTGGAAAAAGGGGGCCAAATTGAGTGTAGTTTACGCTGTACGTTGTGTTGTGTTGTTAGGCGTTAACAGAGATCATTAAACGTGATGCCGATTATTTTATCTATTGCTTTAAATGATCAGTGACGATACCAATATATAAGCAGGAGACGCGGCTGAAAATGTTCATGAAAATGAAGGTATGCACAATGGCGTTAAGCAGAAAAAGCAGTAAGTACAGCAGTTCATTGCGACTTTGTGATTGTGCTCATTATTTCAGTGGAGTGCGGGAATACAAAAGGTGCATATTTTCACGGCTTTCTCCTGTGTGTGAAGACAAGATTGTTCCCATGACTAGCGACGTCACAAAATACTTGAGAAATTACTACAATATGTACGACTGGACGTGCAATGTGACCCAGCCTCGTGAGTGTGCTGCCTAGTCTGTCATTACCTAACGCTAATTAATAAAGTAAGCATTAGGTGGTGAACTTAGAAGTTTGCCTTCTTTCCTTAGAAAGCCGCTGTGACAAAGAGGAACTGAGGAAAAGCTTGTCAAAATGTGTTGGACTCTTAAATAAGGAGTTTGACGTCTCCGTCATGGGGCTCAACACCGAGTACTTATGCACGTAAGTTGCGAGCTAGCCGAATGTGCCAGCACGATAAAGCGACCTTCAGGTGTCTAACCCGATTGATGCTCAATTCACACGCAGCTTTCTGGAGGACTACAAGCTGTGCCTTAATATGCGAACCAGTCCTGAATGTCGAAGAGATGATGTTGTGATGCGGTCGCCGGATATCATCTACTATACCACAGAAATAATATCCAAATTTATGGGGCTATGCAATATGATTGATGTCAAAGGTGAGTGCACATGAACTTAAGATATACATGTGTGCGTTTTTTCAATTATTAATGCTATATAATGCCCGATTTTATGCAGAATGCAGCAGAAGCACAATTCTGGAAAGTGTTTATAGATGTAAAGGACTCATCGACTACGGGCTGATTGACAGCGTTCAAGACAGCGGGGACGTTGATGCTATGAAGCAAGCATGCGGGTAAGTTCATACTTTTACACGAGATCATAATCAGAAGAGGACGTAAAAATGCGACGTTCGTGTCTCTGCAGCGGGCTCTTCCGCTACCGCCACTGCGTGCATTCCGAGATATTCAAAGTTTGTGACGCGTCTAGCCCTGTCCTCCGAGACAATACCGTTCAACAGTACGCCGTAGGTGTTCCGAGAAACCTATCTTGGGTCTGCGACCTCAACACCAAACCAGGTGGGTTTTTTTTTTATTTTTCTCTTATGGTTCGTCACTGACAATTCCCTTCGCTTGTCAGGTTACCAACGCGAAGCTTGAGGGAAAAAACAGTCTATTAACTATCGTCTAACATTTGGTCCATGCACGGTTTTGTTTGGTACGGACCAATTTAAAGAAGCTCAAAAAAATCCGCTTTAACGCGACAGCGTTAACGAGCTGTAGGTCACCCCCGGGTGTCAGACCCCGGGTGTCACCCGGGTGTCAGTGTACCCCGGGTGTCAGTGTAGGTCACCCCCGGGTGTCAGAACAGGTGATTATGACTACCTCGTTGTTTAAAGCCGGCCGCCCACTACAAAAGGCATACATGTTAAGGCGCGTATATCCTCTTCAGACCACGTAGAGGGTGCATAGCAAGTTCGAAAAAAATTTCACGCACATAATTACTCGTGGTTTAAAGCATGCTACCTGTTACACAGAATGCACTAGGGACAGGATATCACTGTCGCATTCAACTCCTAAAGGTGTGGCTTCAGGGTCTTCAAGTGTTTTTTTGAAGACCCTTTAGGGAAATATTGGGAGAAATTCTAGATTTTCATCACTGCACTAGTAGAACTCGCCGTTTGGCTAGATTGTGTACGTCTGAATTCATTAGTCAACTTCGCGCCAAAATCATGACCACACAAACAAAGAAAACACATAGACAGGACAGGCGCTCGGTTGGAACGTATCGGTAATAAATTACTGATACGTTCTCCTATGTGTTTTTTTTTGTTTGCATGCTCATGATTTTGCTGCGAAATTGACTATTGAATCCATCATTGTAGTTGTCCAGTTTATATACCAGAATACGAGGTACTATGCTGCCAACGCATGGTAATAGTGGCAATGCGTCGAAAGTGTTCAAATTTGCTATTTGGCATTGGTAACAATCAATCTCTTATATTTTATTCTATTTTAAAAATAATAGGGTATTTGTAATACTAATTATTATCAAGCGAATATATTTTTGTTCTTCCGTGCTTTCAAGGACAAGTTGAACGTCAGTGTCGTGATCGTCACAGCAAAATGGTAGGCAGGCACTGCGAGGGCTGTGACGTACTGATTTTTTTATAATTATTTAGTTAATGACATGAGATTGATGTATTGGGCACTTAGTGACCGGGACATAACAGTGAATGTTCGGAAGACGCACAATACCATGAAAGTACTAATTGTGAAGGTCGACATTGCGCGCATCTTCTTGTAATTAAAAATAACAAAGTAATCAGTACACACTTGTGAAGACAGCTACCATTATGTGCTCTCAGAAAGCACGCATATACTACCCGGTAACCATTTTTATTTTTTGTGTGGATATGACATGATACTGTAATCGCGAGATAAAAAAAAAGCCGCTTTTTCTCACAGAGGACTGCACCGTCAAGAACATACTGCCTTCGATCTCGGAATGCCAGGGCTTCATCGAAGGCATCGGAGATCCTCACAGCCTCCGTAAATCTGATTCATTCGCCCTGAGCGTAGCTTGCAGGTAAGCCCTGAGTTGGTGGCACTGTGAGAACAAAATACGAAGTACGGCTTGCTTGATTTCAGCTTTGTTCAGCAGTACAGAGAGTGCATCGACCTGAACATTCGCTCTGTTTGCAAAGAGCCGAAAGTTTTATCCGAAATATCGGAAATCAGCTTCTACACTCAAGACTTATACCACAAGTACTTGTGGACGTGCGAGAGAAAGAGAAGTCGTAAGTTGATGCTTTGAAATTATAGGGCCTCAATTACAACATGCGTTACCCTGAACCTGGCAGGCACACTTTGCAACATGGACGATCTCGTCGTTCATCTGAAGCAATGCGAGGTGTTCCTGATACCCGGAGTCGTTCCCTATGTCGACAACACGTTCGAGACGCTAAAGTACAGCTACGTTTGCGAGTAAGTTGATCTCACCTATAGGTTCCGTAAATTTCTAATTCTATTCAAATTATTGTTCGTTCAGGAGCTTCGCTGTGTACTCGAAATGCGTTCAGAAGGTAAAGTCAACGATCTGCGGAAATAAAGACATCACTGCGTCACCCGAAGTTAAGATGCTACTGTACAACAAAATGAACGAGTACAAGTGGTACTGCAGCTACAGGAAAATTGTCAGTGGTGAGTAACATTTCCGGCTTACAAAAAAATAAAACTCACCGAGTGTGCTCTCTTCAAACATCTGCAACAAATGATGACATATACGTATTCTGCTGTTGTTGCAAGGTGACTGCAATGAAGAACACCTTGAAGATGAGTTGAAGCACTGCTTGGGCTTTGTGAAAACTGTCGTGAGACTTAAAGTACTGGGAACGTACAATGCTTCTGACATGCGAATGGCATGCTCGTAAGTTGAATGCGGCAACGATGTCGTTTCAGCTACATATGTTTGTAAACGATCCTCAGGCGATTGACGATTCTAACTATGTTGCAGTGCACTTGAGGACTACAAGTATTGCGTGGTGTCGAAAATAAGCAAACACTGCGGTTACGAAACCGCAGTCGTGCAAAAGCCAGCCGTGAGAAAGTACCTCTTTGATTTGTACGACAAGCACAAGTGGATATGCCAAGAAAACGTCATTACTGGTACGATCAGAATCTGCCACACTGAACTTGGGAAGCTTTCAGAATTTCGTTTTTAACTTCTACTTTTGAATTTCAGATTGCAGTGCAAGGCACGTTATGGCGCATGCAAAAAGTTGTGAATTGCATTTAAATTTCACCTCACAGTCTCCGCTTGCCGCGAGGGATCCGGGAAGCAGTACAGTGGTCTGCAGGTGAGTGGCTTGAATAGCCCAAAGTGGCACTGTCATGGGACACTCTTTCGGACACTGTTGTCACGTTGATCATCTAGAAATAATAGAAGTACATATCTTTGGCGCACGTTATCGGGTAAAAATTTTTTTTTCTTTTGCTAACGTTGCACTAACTCAACCTCAACGACTACGTTTGAATGTTAACTTAAAGTCATCTCAGAGGCTGCGTAAATGTACGAGCATGTAGCGATGGAAGATACTTGAACGCGAGGTGTCGCTGAAGCCAAGGTTTCGACAAGTGATCTGTGTTCGTGCACGCACCTGCCACATTGAACTTAGTGTCGTTAGCATGTATAGCCGCTTCCTATTCAGTCTGCCGCAACCTTTGACACCTCTCTAAAAGGAATCTTTTGTGGAGATTCTGAGTATGCACATGATATATCGTAAACTGTCACCAATGATAAATATCTAACTATGCTGGTTTTTGAATCTGCTTCTGGTGCGAGACTTTTTTACGCATCTTTGAAAATTCAAATCACTGCCATCTAAGATAATAATTTTGTCGTAGCAGTTAGAAGCAATAGTTTACTACAATCTTGTATCCGATCATTTTATTTGTGTTGATTTTCTAATTACGGAAGCTTCCAACAGACTACCCTAGTTGCCTTCTACCGCACTTAAGTTGGCGAACAAAACACTTGAAGCGTGTCTTCACTTCTGGAAGCTTTCGAACATATAAAATTTTTTTAAATACTGGCAGTGCCTATGAGGGAAATTCCGTTAGAGACTGCTCAAATGGACAGAATTTTATGTCATCAGCATAACAGCTTAATATATAGCTGCAGCAAAGTGAGGATTAAATTACACTAAGCTGCAATTTCTACTGCACTGTGGCTTCTCTGTCTCATATGAATTATGCAAGCATTCGGTGGTTGAACTGCTATGCCAGGAGCCGGGTAAAATTTCCGCCAGTTTAAAAAAGTAATTTCTCTTTCGAAACAGTCAGTTGATCTAATTTAAGCCTTTCCTCGTTCTCACCGACATTGAAGTATTTTACCTTGGTTTTTACGTAGTCCGTACGATGTTTCTTATTCACTGTCCTTTTACAGAGGTCTACACCAGTACCATGCCTGTTTTGAGAAAACTTACTTGTCACATTGTGGCCGTACAAAATCTCTGCATCTCTGGAATAACATAAAAGCTATGGCCTCAAAGCGGGCAAAACATGCACAGGAAACCTGCTTGAAACACAAAGACCCTATAAGTTTAGGTAAACTAAACTTGATTGTTTACGTTTCGAATAGCGTACTTACGCGACATTATTTCAGATTCATGCAATGCAAAAGTGCTCGCCGAAAGATCGCGAAGGTGTCAAGGGATCATTGATACAAACTTAATTCCAAACATCCGTAAAAAGAACAACATTCCTAAGATCAATGAGGCATGCAGGTAAGTTGCATGTATTCGGTTGCCACTAGATTAAATCGACCCTTTTATTCCCACGTGCTTCAGCAATTGTTCCTTCTTTAACAATAACATGCATGCATTGCAGTGCATACAAGCAGTTTCAAGAGTGTCTCTACCAAAACCTTGGCCACTGCAATATCTCCATCGCTCCCAACAGAGAAATCCTTGACAAATACAAGTGGGTTTGTTCCGAGGCACTCAATCAAAGTAAGGCTTACTTCCTTTTCGTATAGAGAAAAGTGTATTTTAACGAGCCCAATGGCTGCAATAATTGGGCTTAAATAAGTGCTAGCGATGGAAATTATATTACATTGGCATGCGTGGGCACCGCTTAGCTTGCTGTAATTGCATGGCGGCTCAAACCTTTGCAGTAAACATCAACCGACTAAAGTATTGACTTTTCAAAGAGTTAATTTGTATAGCTTTCATTAGTGTCCCCGTTAAAAAAGCCATATTCAAGCGTTAAAATGTGGTCAATGAGAGTAGCCATGTAGTGAGAGCACTGTCACTAGTGTCATGTTAAGCTGGCCCTACTTATGTTTGACGTCACGAACGCGCCTTGAAATCAAGTATTATTGAAAACTTTATTCTTCATGAAATAGTAAATGCAAAAATCAGGGACGAAAAACTGTTGCCGTGAGTTGAGAAGCAGGAAACTTATTTGAAGAATACATGTAGCAAATATTTTTCAAGTAAAAGATGCTGACCTTGTTTACAGGAATGTACAGAGAATTTTTCTCACACCCAACACTTGCATACACCAATATTTATTTTCTCGGACCTTGTTCCCGGCTTCGCCACGCTATTCTCATAGTATTGTTCAAAAGAAAAAAAAAACACTATAATGAAAAGCAGCCACCATTCACCATCAACCATTTTCATTGAAATATAAAACAACTTTTTATAGTTCGTTTGAGACAGTCTTATCTACCTGATTTCTCGTGTTTCTTTGAGTGCAATGTTTGTTTTCACAGGTGCGACCGCTTCGTGCAACGCAACCGAACTTCTGAGCGAGATGCAAGGCTGCCTTGGCATCATGTACTTTATGGTGATCCCTAATGCCGGGCAGAAAAACAACAAGCCGGCGCTTGCAAAAGCCTGCGAGTAAGCTTTAAAAAACTCATAATTTTTGGTCATTAACAAATGAATATGGCATATCAGATATCAATGACTTGAGACTAACAGTGGTTACCGTAATGTAGAGCTAGTACAGAGCTGCAATTATCCTACATTGCACTGTAGTGCAAAGAAGATTCTAGGGAACAAGAATAGCCATACAGAATTTTAGACACTTTTATCCTGAGCCTCTTCCGCTTAATTTCTCTAGATGCACATGATTGTGAGAGTAGTGTTTGATCAAATTCGAATAGAGAACAAATATTTGGCCGAGTTCGTGGTCGAATGTCGTATTCACTATCAACTGGACTTGTACACGTTGCAGAAAATTAGCGAGCGATTGTAACTGCAGTTAAATGTAATTTATTACTAGTGTTAATTGAAGCCACAAAAACTATCTGCGCAATTACAAAAATGCAATGAATTACTTTTGCGTTACTTTTCTTCAAATTCTTATTTCCGTGACACAATACCACATATTTACTAAAACTACAACGAACTTTGTGACTGACATGGTGCATAGAAAGCTTGATAAAAAGCTTAGGAGGCTTACCCTGGCTCCTGTGATAAAGTGTTACCCATTCACTTTCAACAGGATTGGTTCCTAAATGTTGCCGTCGCTGGTTCTTTCACGTTTTCTCGTTAAGAGGTCAGCTGCTGCACTGCACGCTCCGCCAATGCATGCGCTGGAGGGATAGGGGTACTATTACGCAGGAAAACCTTGCACAGCAGCTCGTAGTTACACAGTGCTTCAATGCTATTGTCGATATCCTTATGAAGCGTCGCGCTTCGCTGTTGCTGACACTCGAGTGAGGCATTGCAGGTAGGACCAATTGATTGATTGATTGATTGATTGATTGATTGATTGATTGATTGATTGATTGTGGTTGTATTTGAGCAAGGGCCATGTTATGGCCAAAGAGTGCCAGTAGCAGGTATGGCCAAGAAAACGGTGAAAAAAGAAAATAATAAACTTTGTTGAAACCCCCTCTCTGTCAGTATGGGGGTCCCTACATAGCCGTCGCATATTTTTTGCAAAGAGAACTGCCCTAGAAGACTGGTTACAACTTTATTTTGGAAAAAAGCAACCCATTATTTGTAGCGCGTTACGTACAGTTCTGGTATCAACACTAGTTAATGACAGCCACCTATTGGCGAACCATCGTTGTAAAAGCAATATTGTTTTAATACAATCTCAATTTAATGTTTGGGTTGTCTACCAATTTCTCCGAAAAACTTGCTAACTGTCGTGGTAAAAGCTAGGGCTTTTGTAGAACTACCGGCGATGTAGACTGTGAAGCGTGTTTCTCTATGCGTGGTTTTTAGGTGACTGCTGAAATTGTCATTGCATTTCGAAGTAATTTATCATCAGTAAGCGAAAGTATACTCGAAAATGGGACAAATAAAAAGAAGACGAAAGGAAAATGCTCCGTGTGTTCGTCATTCTCGCAAGCTTTCTTTTAGTCAACTTGTACGAGTTCGCCAAATACACGCTGCCTACTACGCAGTGGCCCGTCGCTTAAGCAGATGCCTTGTGAAGACGGACACCTAGATACAGTGGGCGATACATAGTTTGTCATTTAAAGCTGTATTTCTTGTCGTCAGTAGTTTGTCCTTGCCACTGAGATGCACTGCGTTACTTATAAGGCTTGCCGCTTTGTGGTGCACCTTCAGCGCTCTCAACAATTCGCCAGAGTCACTATTGCCAGAAATTAGGCTCATCATTGACGGACGTGATACAGCCGCTGTTCTACACTACGCGACGAAAAAGAAAGTAGGTTTAAAAATTATTTCTAGCTTCGTCAACTGCTGATGTTGCCTCATAACAGTTGCTAAAATAACCTCACCGTCAACGATAACAGCTTCAGCGGTTAATGTTTCAGTGTGTATCTGTATTGCCTTCTAGGGGTCTCAAGCATTATCAGAACTGCGTCCTGGGCAAAACGACGCGCGTATGTGCTTCTAAAGTCCTCGTAAGATCAACCAAGGTGAGACGGCTGACGCGCCACATCACAAAAAAGTTCAGCTGGACATGCTCTCTGAGCGGTCAAGGTAAGTAAATGTAAAGATCTTGCAATTAGAACTGGGCGCTACCCTCTGGTTATTTTTATAGATCAGAACTGCAAAACGCACAGCATTGTGGATCACCTGAAAACTTGCCTCGGGTTTATTGACTTGGCTGTCGCGCCAAACATATTTCATACCGAGGACAAGGCTAAAATGCAAATCGCTTGCAGGTGAGTTTGTTGTTATATGGTTACTTAGGCATCTAACTGAACGCAAATGAAACTTCGCTTGCACAGCGGCCTTGAGGACTACCAAGACTGTGTAGACAGTAAGATTTACGAGATGTGTCCACCGCTGAACAAATACCTAAAACGAAAAGATGTCAAACTTTTCACGGAGTTTCTTCCAAGCAAGTACAGCTGGGTCTGTCACACAAGCTACTGTAAGTGGCAGAACGTTGATTTTCTTAAGCTACATTTCTTCTTGAAGTGTGAATAGAAGAAAGTCACAACCCTTTCTTCGCAGCTCATCAGTGCACTCTTCAGAACATCATGGAAAACTTGAAGATTTGCCGTGGACTTGTAACAAGTGTGTTGTTCGCGAAATTGGATAGCGGGAAGCTCGTGGGTAACAGCCGTCCAATGGCGTGCAGGTATCTCCCTTTTTTACTAAATCATTATTTTTTTTGGAAAGTAATACATCGCCTACTCTAACCACACCAACTGCCACTGCTGTAGCTGTGTTGCAGAACTGTATCGCAACCCTACAGTGAATTTTTTTATGCAAGGACGTACATACGTTCGTACAGCAAAACAAAGAGGGAAGAAGCAGTTGATGGTTAGCGAGTTGAGCAACAAAAAATAAAGTTACTTTGTAAGCAATAGTAGCTAACGCATATTGGTAGCACTGCTTTCATTGTGGTGCTAGTTTTGCATTCACCTAAGCTTTCAATGCTAAAATCTATGGCTGGAGCCACGGATCTTCGCTAACTCACACCGCGTAACAATTATCGTGTCAGTGCCCAAGTTTTTTTTTTTTTTAAACTTCTTTGAGCCACTTGGAGAAGACGGTGATGGTGAGGTGTTTTTTGTGTGCTGCCAACGAGGATTACCAAATAAACCTCTCCTTCAAGGTTATTTTGCGCTTTAGTGCTCGAGAACAGTAACAGATCAGCTGCTAACAACATTACCTTCATATTAAGTAATGGGGTCTCAGTTATAGATAAGGTTTGGTTTTTTGGACAAAACGATAAAATGCATTTTTTGTCCTCATCAGTGCCTTGCAGTCATTCGAGCTTTGTGTCATGGTGCAAACGGGAAGGATATGCAGTCCGGACGACCTGGTTTTGCACCACCATGACGTAAGGGCAGCCACGACCGAAATCCTCGACGCATACGGCTGGGTGTGCAATGACACAGGTTCCATGGACTCCACTTTCGTGGATACTGCTCTTGCATTCCGTATGTTCTATTTGCATTCCTAGTCACTTTGTTGTTCCCTATGTCACAATAATTACATAATGCAAATGAAACTCGTGTGAACTTGTACCGTATTCTCTGTTCTGCTGGCTCAGTAGGTAATGTGAACGTTCAGGCTCGATGTCGGACACTGAATTGGATAGGCATACCTTTTTTTTCAATCTAGCAATAGTTACGCTTTGGTATGATTGTTTTCGCCGAAATTAAGCACATAACAAGAACGAAGGTAAAGTGCATCACTCATGCCTCTGGGGCAATGTTAACGGCCCCAGGCATACTTGCCGGGCATACTTGCCGGGCATACTTGCCGGGCATACTTGCCGGGCATACTTGCCGGGCATACTTGCCGGGCATATTTGCCGGGCATACTTGCCACTCAATCATCGCATAACTTGTATGCAGAATTTGTGCTCGTTAATTGTGTTTACTTTTGTGAGCTACGCAAATTAAGTACACTGACGTTTTATTGCATTTCGCCTGAGCGTAAGTGCGGCCACTATTGACGGGAACCGGACCGGCACCTTGAACCTTAACAGAGACACATCTTCGTTGCTGAGCTGACATAATTATGTAAACCAAACAAAAAATTCTTCTCTTTTTCTGGGCGCAGGGAAAAGTGGCTGCGAGGACGATCTGTTGAGGGACAGGCTCATACATTGCCGAGAACTGTTCAACAGAACGTTACCACCTGAACTTGCCTCCGAAAAATTTCATTCCGGGGATATCGAACTGACCTGCAAGTACGAGGCACTTTATTTATATATATACCAGTTGCTATTTTGATAGATATCGTGCCTACTCATTTGTTAATCATTTCTGTGTTATACTGCAGGGCCGTGATGTCTTACGAAGAGTGTACACGTGCTGCTCAGCATGAGCTCTGCTCTAAGATGGGAGAAAATGCCATTGTTTGGGAATATTCCAGAGATCTTTACAGGGAGTACAACTGGACATGTAATCTGGCTTCAGGTAAGTCACTCGTTGTCTTGAAATGCAAGTGTAGCTCTCACCTCTAGTTTGCCAGCTTATTTGTCAACGAAATGCATGAATCGTAAATAGAACGAACCGCAACATGACTGTCAAGTCCATACAAGTCGAACAGCGCTTAGTTTCAAGGTTATCATGTGTCCTATATGACGATGTTTCGAGCATGGCCGAACGAAAAAGGCAAAGCGAAGCACTTGAAGGGTCATACTTAGCACAGCATGACTCCAAAGTCAATATAGCAAGCCTCTGCACATTTTCGGTGCAATAACAGTATTGCTTCATGTGGCAGTGTGCCGGCTAGGACAGCATAATTAATTAATGGAGCACAGCTTTAAAGAGTAGACTGGAATTGTTCTCGTGAAGGCCACACTTACCGGTGCTTGCTTTCTAGACGCCCTATGTGATGATTCCTTCCTGCTGAAGTCTATACCAGCATGTCTTGCCATCCTCAAAAATGAAGTGATTGAACACGTTGGTGGCATATCAAACGTCGAGACACAGAAAGTAGCATGCGAGTAAGTTTCTGTCGACTGCGTTGAACAATTCAACGAAGTTTGTCATCTTTCCTAATTACTACTTTTTTTTCATTACCTCAGGGGATACAAGCGGTATCAACGCTGTGTCAAGTACATAGTTGACTCTAGCTGTCAAAACATCGATATCGACAACACGGCAAGCCACGTAGGAATCATGGCATTCCTGACGAGGAAGCTTTCTTCGAGCTTTCAGTGGACCTGCAATGGTTCGTTTTCTTAAGCTTCTCGTCAGCGTTTGAACTGTGCGTAACTGCGTACCTGGTTCACGCTTTTCAGGGTTTCATTGCAGCAGTGCTGCGGTAACAACAAGCATTCGAGAATGTGTGCGCAGCCTAGAAGAGCTTTCGAATTCCTTCACCAGAAACGAGAGAGTTGAACCATGCGCGTACGTACGATTTATGAATACAGTATTTTCTCACATGCCTCGTAACTTCCCCGTTCTTCTTTCAACACTTACATTGCAGGAAGGTGACGGAATATCGAGAGTGCATCCTCAAAAAAATGAACGTGACCTGCACACTGAATCATCACCTTTTGCAGTCCAAAGAACTGGAGCACTACACGGACGCTTTGTACAATGCTTTTGACGGATTCTGCAGTGGTGTTATGCCAGGTATTACTGCTATTATTTGATCTTATCGTTTATTCATCTTCAAGTGCAATTCACTTAACAGCTACAGTTTACGTAATTATTTTTTACAGAATGCAACAAAGAAGAAATGTTACAGTCCCTGTACAAATGCGAAGAAATTATTCTCAAGCAAGTTCAACCGCACACAACTGACAGAGGCAACGCCTATGAAAGCCGGCTGGCATGCAGGTAAGTGCCCTTTGCATGCAATGCGCCGCTAACTTGTGCCTCGATCCACTAACGATTGGATATCGTCGCCTGCTTCGAACACTGCAGAGGTCTTCACGAGTACAAGTGGTGTGTATCGAACGTCAAAACCGTGTTTCACTGCAAGAGCGACGACGCATTCGACAGTGAAGGGGACATCGACAAATTAGTACTCGCCATCCAAGACAAATACAACTGGACATGCGAGCAAGACGCAAGTAAGAACATCCAATCAAACTGTGGTTCCGACCATGGATCTTCATAAATTTACGCTGGCATCCGCACTTCGCGTGTTTTGTCTTCATTGTGGCTGCGATAGGGCAAAGTAATTTAAATACAGCGTAAACGCACGTTAATACCAAAATTAGACAGTATTTGTAGCTAACACATGTGTACTTAAACACTTGCAAGCGCAACCAAAGTATGTCCCAGAATACGAATAATACCACGGCAATGTCTTCCGTTTCAGTGCTATTTTTTTCTGTTTTGGTTTGCACAATCGAAGACTTGAAATTCTATGAACAATTTATGCTATCCTTCGTGGCCGCATTTATCAGCGCATGGGCTTCTCTGTTTTTTTGTTTTTTTTTTTGTTTGAAATGCGAAGTACTTCTTTGCGTACTGCATGCACTTTTAGTGATTTAGTGATTTTAGGGTGCTTTTGTGATCAGTCCTTTAAAGGGACACTAAAAAGCAGAACGCTTTTTCGCGTATTAGTGGAGTAAATTTTCACAATCCCAGAAACACCACTCTTACCGCGACACGACACTTGGCATGCGAGAAAACGCACGAAAAGAAACTGCGGGTCGAGACGCCATTTTGAGATTCCCGCACCAAACAGTGTGACGTAATCAATTTTTTGAAGGCGTCTGCTGGGTTCTATACGTAGCTTGTAATCGATAAAGTTGAAGTACCTTGTAATCTGTCGTTGTCATATACTTAACATACAAAGTGTCAGAAAATTTCATCTAGCCAATGCCACAAAAATACGAAAAATACTTTGCAGAATTTCATACGTCACTTGCGGAGATTGTGGTGCGAAATTTAGAAATGAAACTTAACCTTGGTTTTTTTTCCCGCTAATAGTAAAACCTATGACAGTCAAACGTATGAGCAATATTGGAGTTATCAGAGTGGAGTGTATCAATCTACAACAAAGAACTCATTGTTTCTCTTTGGTCTCCCTTTAACTTGGTGTAAACCAAAATTTGTGCAGAAGAGTAACATTTTAATAAAACTTGTTGTTGGGCTAGTTGGTTATACATCATATACTTAGAAATTTTGGCGCAACCTCGACTCACGCAAACACTCACACAAGCACACACACTTACACCAGAGCAACACACAGCGCTGCGTGTCGTGTGTGTTGCTCTGGTGTAAGTGTGTGTGCTTGTGTGAGTGTTTGCGTGAGTCGAGGTTGCGCCAAAATTTCTAAGTATATGAAGAGTAACATGCTTTCATGAATGACTAGCTGCGTATGACATCAATAATATGATCATCTCATCACGCACATACCCGCCTGTATACCACAGGCGGGTATGTGCCATCTATTCGGGTATGTGCCACACGTAATTGACAGTTTATATCTACTAAGTAACGGCGAGAACAAACATTGATGATTTCGACGTGATAGCATAAAGAAAAAGCTGACATTGGCATCGTCGACACGACGAATTCAACGAATAAATGTCAGGGTATCAGCAGGAATCAAACCCTAGCTTTCGGCGTGGCAACCAAGTATTCTAGCACACAGCCGCGCCAGCTCTCGGAATTGCTTTTCAAGTAAGCCCTAAATAAACCCTAACCCCGAGCACACGCGCTACGTATCAGCTTCTCACTTCTGATGTTAATAATACCCATGTTGCTGTTAACATCATTACGCAGCTGCAAACAACACATAAAAATGTTCAACGTACACATCTGTGCGTATAACATTTGTACATATATTTAGCATCACATTGTAACGTATCGCTCAATTAAAAAATTGCTGCACAGACGCCTTCTCTCCGCATGCTTCGCATAGCATCAGTTCCTAAGTTACATGGAATCTGCCGAATCTTCCGCCAAGATCACGCATTGTGTGAGGCGCAATACTTAATGCGTATTTTGGTGAGCGTATACTATTTACGAAAAGTATTTGATTTTACAATGTTTCAGAAACATGCAGTGCTCCTAAATTCAAGTCCTACCTGAAACCATGCTTCTCTATTTTGGGGACGGAAGTGCTTCCGCACATTTTAGACTACGACAATGCAAGCGGTATGGACATAGCTTGTCGGTAAGCAAAACTCACTGTTATCTGTGCGTCCCTTCTAGAAAAAAAAGATAGTGGAGCCACTTCTTGAATTCGCCGGAATTTTTATGTCTTTTTGCATCTCAACTGAGTGCTCCTCGTTTTCCACATGCAGCAGCTTTCGTTAAAGGGTCGCCTCTTCGTTCGAGCTTTCGTAAAACAGGATTCACACGCGAAATTGGTGGCAATGCGTGGCCCACACGCTACCACGTAATATGTCTAATAGACCGGGACTGATATCTCAACTCTTGCCCGCCATGGTGGATCAGTGGATAAGGTGCTATGCTGCTGGCATAAAGGTCGCGGCTTCGGTTGCGGCGGTCGCATTTTGGATGAGGTGAAATCGTGAAGGTCCATGTACTGTGCGATGGTAGTGTGCGTTAAAAACATCAGACGGTCAAATTTCTATGGCCCTTTGCTACAGCGTCTCTCATAATGATATCGTGACTTTGTGACGTGATGCACTACATATTATCACCCTCCATGTCTCAAATCTTATATTTTTTCTAACCCAGCAAATATACGAATATATATATATACACATATATATATATATATATACATATATATATATATATATATATATATATATATATATATATATATATATATATATATATATATATATATATATATATATATATATATATATATATAATTATTGTCACCTTTTAGTTTTTTAAACTCATCACTTTACGCTTACGGGGCATGTTGCATTGTACGTACAGTTGCACTCAATATAAGTCGCAACAGTTTACCTCAAAATGCATGTCTTTTACTGCAACAAGCGCTGATGTACCAGAAGTAGATGGCGGTAATGTGTTTTTTTTTTTGTTGCTAGAACTCGCAGTGATATTTGCCGTGCAAATTAGAATTACACATATCCAACAGAGAAGAGGGAGACAGGGCAACCACTAGCCCTCTTTCTGATTAGCCCTCTTCCTGTGTTGTGTCGTCCCTTGTGCATGTGACTTTAGCTGCAAAAACGACTGCGAGTACCAGAAGTCCCCGATAAGTGGCTCTAAATATGGCACCACTCAAGGACATGCCACTGAACTCATGCCATATTTTGTCTCAAAAAAAAAACAGACATAGTAATTCCAGTAGGCAAGTGCACTCGAACTCAGACCCACTCGTATTCACACAATTTTAGTGAAACGAAAGCTCATGAGCCAGTCTACCGACGCTATTCGCTGATTACTTGAACTCCTGTGACGTTAACGTGAGCGAGCACTCGTATTTCGTTCAGTAAACTACGTATACTCGTGCATTCAAAAAAATGTGTTTTGAGGGCAGTAACAGGCACCGTAAGAGATCCGATTCGTCCAGTGTGTCTCAGGGCGTAGTGTACAATTGAAGACCGTAAAGGCAGGGACCATCACCATTTTGTGTTACTTGTGAAAAATATCTTCCAGTTAGCAATAGACGTAAATAAAACGGCTTTAGTAATTCGTTACCAAAATTTTAACGTGCAAAAGCGTCAATAAATAACATAGAATAATGCAAGAGTATAATTCATTAGTCAAGACATACATATGCCGGTGTCCGAGTGTAATGTCTGATCGAACCACTTTTATTCACTTGTTATTTTACAGAGGGGTGCACCATTACCAAATATGTGTGAGCAAGAAGCTGTACAACGTTTGCAAACAAGACAAGCCCATATACTCGAATGAGATGCTGTACTTTAGAGACAAAGTAACGGGGCTGTTGTCCTGGACATGCAGCTGGACATCTCCTAGTAAGTGGTTGCCTCGCACAGTGTACGTTGTATGAGATGGTGTGGTGTGCAGGCCCTTGTTATATCAGAGGCAAATGAACACTCAAGCGGGCTGCTTAGTCGGGGGGTCAAGTGCATTTAGTGCGAGAAATATAAGATAACGTATAGGGATCCACTCGGTGATATTCTTGTTTCGCCTAAATCTGTTTTTAGTGTTGTATCGTGTTGCTACTTGGATAACTGTGGAAGGAAGCGGTTCATCAGGCTGAGATTCTTGCCCCCATATTAAAATTAACACAATTAGAAAAAGAAAGCACAGACCTTGAGAAAGGTCTGTGCCTTGAGAAAGTAGCGGTGTATCAAAAATCTTGTTTTTATTCGGTCGACAACCTTGTGTTTAAAAGCACATGCTGTGGTAGATGGAAATCCGAAAAAGAGAAAAATTTCATTGTTTAAACCCACTCGCTGAAATTACTTTTTATTTTCAGAGAAGCTTCATTCAACAATATTCCATGTGGATAGTTGATGCAGCGTGTGAAAATGCGAAAGCCGTAAAATTAGCTTTTAACCTGCGTTCATTTGGTAGAACATCAGCTTCTCTCGCACCTGTCCTGCAGTACTGTTTTAAGGCATTCACTTTCGTAAGCGTCTGTTAATAAATAGCACAGCATTGTCAAACACTGGGATGTAAAGCTAAACCTTATTCCAGCTGCCAGCAAGGGTCAAGCTTGTCTTTCCACATGTTATTGCGTGGCCGCTTTGGGCACCGACGTCGTGCGAGATAATTGTTATCTTTATATTGTGTGTGAATCCACTGTGTACAAGGTAAACATAGCTAATTAGGATATTCTAACACGCGGAAACTGATTGCCGTCATACTAGAGTGGCTTTCCACTTGTTATACTATGCACGTGCCGTGAGCGAAGATCAGGCTCGTTTTACGATGGTGATCTTGGAAATAGGACAGCATTCGTATTCCATACCCAGTGAGCGTAATCTTTATCTTTGATCAAAACTTTTATCTGAATACACTTCCATCATCAGTGCTATTCAACGCATTCAATTCACGTGTCGGAAGAGATCGAGCACGAAAATCTCCGGCTTGTAGGAGTAACGGCTGTGTTCAAGTCTAATATGCTCAGCAAGAGAATTTTGCTACCACATACGCCAGAGAATTTCACATAGAATACTGCGATATGCCTTCATTAATAAAAAAGGCTGCCGAAATTGCTCTTCGGGTTGCTATTAGAATTATGGTAAAATTATGCACCTATGTGGCAGATACTCATATTTAGAAATGTGTTGTGCTAGTTAGTGGACTGCCTTGCGGCTAGCTGTAATATTGCTTGGTTAATTTCTGCTTCTGCTACGTGGTGCACAATGTTGTGGTGGAGCTATATTTGCTGTATATTCAAAAACACCTCGCCGATCTATAGCAGAAAAAAATATATCGCCTGCATGATTGGAGACTTCGATAGTCTCCAATCATTGATGATTTCGACGTGATAGCATTAAGAAAAAGCTCACACTGGCATCGTCAACACGACGAATGCCAGTGTCATAAGTGGCATACTTCATAAGTGGCATTTTTTTAAGGAGGACGCTGCGATGTCCACGGCATGCTTCAGAAGATGGCGCTTTGCGCGTCTGAACTCGAACAAGCGGGCGTTTCCACCAGCCCGGCTAACAACAGTGTCGCTGAAAAAATGGCGGGCTGCAGGTATGCTTCCTTAACGGACTGTCTTTGTGCGTGTGTGTGTATGTGTGTGTAAGGGGTGGGGGGTGGGGGGGGTGTGCATGCGTGTTAAACAAAAATTCGATTCCGTCTGATTTTCAGAGCTTTAACAACGTACAAGACGTGCCTTTCTGGAACGATCCCTGAAATGTGCAGCAAAGAGACGAGTCTAATGGGAAGCAAGGCCGTTCACCACTTCACCGTCGACATTCCCAACCAATATGCGCGTTATTGCGACTACAAAGGTGACTGAAGCTCGTACACTTGAGTTCATGTATCAGTTTGTTGGAATGTTGATCTTGTTTTTGTTGTTATTTTTTAGATGGCAACGTAGAAATCTCTAGACAGCTGTCTCGGTGCGACGAGGAGTCTTTGAGAATGCGCTATATTGAGTGCAGTCAAATTATTTCTACGGAAGTGATACCGTACACTGATGAACCAAGTGATTCACCGTTGCTCAACGATGCATGCAAGTATGTCGCACCAACGAGAAGAAGAAACGTCCCCGTGTAATGCAAGAACGGTAATACCTTTTCTCTGAACATCCCTGTGCAGGGCTATGAGGAAGTACCAGAATTGCATCGCGAAAATTCCTACTCAAGAATGTTCGAACGGCTTGAAGATCCCCTTCTCGGAAGAATCTCGGTACTATGTGTCAGTGCTCAAGAAAAAGTACGAGTGGGTTTGCAATGGAAATGGCGGTACGCATTCTATTTCGTCGCTGTAGAGATAATGTGCCAGTTTGTTTAGGCCAGAGTGATCGTCAGTTTTTTTTTTTTTTTTAACAGATTACATGTGCAACCCGGAACTATTGCTCCTCTATCTGTCCAAGTGTGAAGCTACGTTTATGAAATCAAACGTCAATGACTACGTCGACGTTGACATACTTGGCATCACGGACTGCAGGTAGGCGGGCCGTTGCATTCATTGGTATCGGGGACAATAAGCAGTGCGTCATATCACTTCCAATGTGTTTTCCGTCATAGGGACGTCGAGAACTACCAGTGGTGCTTGCGGAATTCGATATTCGAGTCTGACTGCGAGTATTACCAGAACATACTGACATCACCCGAAGTTCTCTACTTCACAGACAAACTTCTCAGACCATATCTCCGGACCTGCCAAGTGAACCTAAGTATTACACTAAAGCGAGGTGCCGTAGCTAAGAAATTAACTAATACGTGGTTTTAAATTTTCAGATTGTCAGATTGGCACCTTGTACAGTCAGTTGTCAGAATGCTCACCAATTATAAAAGTTAAGGTACTGCCGTTCGTCCAGCGAGGCTGGGTGCAGAACCCCATCACTGCGTGCGGGTAAGAAAAATGTTTGCTGATCTTGGTACTAGCCTGCTGTACTCTTTTGTATATAAGTTATTGAACTCGTAGGCCAGATTCTTCGACAGAGTCGCCGTTGTGTCATCATTTGCGGAACTTAATTTTGATTTGTTTTTTCGTTGGTACGTACGCACGGAAGTAACCTGCCAGCAACGTTTGATGATGATTAGGATGTAGTATATTTTTATGCTGCAAGAGCAACTGTGGTCAAAGAGCCCCATGGTTACTGATTAATTGAGTTTATATGTGTTACTCAATGTTAGGAATAAAATAAAAGCATGGTATATAGGGCATAAAAATAAAAGTAATCACTATGTACCATGAGCTAAAAGCCGGCAAGACTCTTGAGATTTATAGTCACGCAGCCTCAGCAGCAGTTCCTACCAGAACAAGGAGATGAAAATATGAGAATATAAAGTTTAACGCAGGAAGCCTACACTGGCTAAGAGTATTAAAACTCTTTTCGATGAGTACATGTCTTGGTTACAGAGAACAAAAAAACTTGGTGTGGTGCTACGACGGATTTGTACAGCTGTGGGAAATGCAAATGCAAGAAACCGTTGTTCGTGGGTATATGTTACCGTTAGCAAATACAATATTACTAACCGAAGTAGTGTATTCAACCAACGTGGCCTAACATTATCAATCAATATGGCCTATACTTCAATAATCGAGCAGCATGATATAATACTAACAAACACGTGACCAGTAATAAAGCTCAAGTTTATAGGCGCGGTACAGAAAAGTTGTGCAATAAAGGCTGCAAATGTGTGTTGCTGAAACTCCACATGAAGATCTATAGCAAGAGAAGTTAAACGAGTCACGCTAATGTTTTATATGTAAATGCTATTGTTTCATATTACCAGAAACATACATTTGAAGAAAATGGCAGTCAAAGATGTGAGAGAGGACATTGTTACGTGGTGAAGTTCATAAATAAACTTAGATGAAAATAGACTGATCCAAGAAATTTGTAATTAGAGATCGCTAGACAAGTATTCGGACTGCAGTAGACTTATCATTTAATATTTGGACATTGGTGTAGAGGCATTTCGGCTAATATGCATAATATACCTCGGTGTTTTTCACACTTGAATAACCACGGTAAAACGGTAACGTTCGTTCACTTGCCTTGGTGCACAACTTGTTATTACAGGCTTGCTATTTTTACACTCGCAGAGGCACCAGGGAATATCAGAAGTGTTTCAGGCTTGCTATGCAGAAGACAACCTGTGACAGAAGTACTGCGTTGTTTAAACTGGCAGAAGTACAGTACTACAGGAATTATCTCTTCAACGCCTACAATTGGACCTGCTTCGAACATGCGGCTCCAGTTGGTGAGTAACGAATTCTGTCAATGTCTTAACGATGTCAGACCCAACTTCGAACTATTTCTAGCAAACAGCATGGGCGGTGTTTTTTCAGGCAAGTTACGCAAGTGAACTCTACAAGTTGAAATGAGGATGCGTGACTTGACTACATTTCGGCTAATTTCCATTTTTTACAGGATCATGCGAGAAAAATTTAGTGCTGCGAGATCTGCAGAAATGTGAAGGATCGGTATTCCAAAACACTACTTCTAGGAAGCCGCTTTCTTGCAGGCAAGTAGGCGCTTGGTGTGAGAGATAGTGCAATATCTGACGTCTTTCTTGTCTTCTTTCAGCTCTCTCTCCTTGGCCAACTTTTTGAACTGCGTGGATAAAACGAACGTGAAGCTGGCCTGTAACGCGGATCCGGCGAAAGTGTCAAACATTGCGGATCATGCTCGGAAAATCCTGCTCGACTACCGCGCAGCCTGTGACTTCGACTGTAAGCCAATTTCGCCTAGTCATCCCTACGGCTGCCCTTCTTCCCCTGGCAATAACTATTTAGTTGTTATTGCTTTGCAAGTGCAATCATGTAGCAAAGGCTGAGGAACACAGACGTATGGAGATATCCATACGCACACCCGCAATAATAACGGGCCAATAACGTCTCTCTCTCTCTCCTTGGTTTCTGGTTTGTGGGAGGAAGTGTTGGTGTTTACGTACATTATGTTTTACGCTTTTTCTGTAACTGGAACAAAAAAAAATATTCGCTATGTTCATATAACGCTGTCTAAACGTTCGTAATTTTTCATGCAAGTTAAATTTTATTGTAGACATCCAGAAGGGTTTGTAGCCTTCAGAGGTGTCTGTGCAGTATTTAGTATCATATCTTAGCAATACTACCAATTCTGTATGTGCACGAAGTGATTGCATGCTTGCAGCCGTTCTCCTACGCCCCTTTTGAGTGGCGCAAATTTGTACGCACTCTGCGTAGCAAGCCTATCGTCAGTGAATGTCATGGCCGACTCGCAAACGACGCCGGCCTGGCAGCATATCCATCCTCAACTACGTTAGCGTTCTGACCATTGTGTGCTGTAAATGGTGTTTGCTACAAAATTATGTCGGTAAGCAAGTCATTTAGCGCTGTTATATTCCTTGCGCCAACGCTTCTTTTCATACATTACGCTTCTATGCGTACCGCCAATGAACTAAACGGCATTTAAAATTTTGGTTTGGATGTTGTTGTTTTTTCTGTGCAGATACTGTGAGTGCCCTTGGACGCAAATTCCTCTTGAATGAGTACCAAAAGTGTCAACTCATGTTGAAGAAATTTGATCGCCTGCTCAAGTCGGCTCAAGTTCGTGAAACGAAAGTACTTGATGCATGCCGGTAAGTAGAATTGGTGGCCTTTGAAAACAAACGTTTAATTCCTACAGTTACTTTATGACGAAACTAAGCGTAGTGATATCCCCTAAAGCTTGTGGTATTTTACGGAAGTTTTGTTTGTTTTTGTTTGTATTGTTTTGTTTTCGTGTCGGTCACTTTCGTGCAGACTTGCTTAGCACCATCGCCCTAACCTTGAGCCATGACACTTTTCCTCTATTTCTTGCAAAAAGAAATAATAGCCGGTCACTCTCACGTACCTTTTCAAGGTTGCATAGGTGCTTTGGTGTTCCGAAACATTTCTTTTCTGATTGCTGATAGAAATGTGGGTGAAAGGAATGGCTACAAATTTTGAAACTATTCAAAGTTGAAGTTGAACTTCTCAAAGAGAAGTGTGTGTAGAGAATAGCAAGTCGACAAACTCCGGATAGAACGTCGTAACACGGGCAGTAAGTATTAGGATTGCTATTTCTTCCAACTTTCCCGACTTTTGATTACTCCAACAATTGAAGGTTTGTCGGTTATGTGTGGCTCACCGCTAATTTATGCAGTATTATACAGTATGTACGTATACCAGTATTTCTATAATTTAAACTTGAATGAAACTGTTTCACTCAATTTGTAGTAGTTATCTCAATTTGTAGTAGTTATTATGAACATCAAAACATCATTGACGAAGTTTTTCATCTCTGCCATCTTTTAGATGGGTCACGACAGCCACTTTTCGATAGCAATCTATGTTATGGGGAGAAAAAAATCCGGTGTGTTTAATTTGATACATCGCGTCATTCATGACATAACATTGTAAGCGCACGAGTGGCCCGAGACCAAAGCAGCACTGATGCACTCGCGAGCCGTGACGTAACAAGCCATTTACCGTGCGAGAATTTGCCTTCAAGAGAATGGTTTTGTTTTGTGGTCAGGTGCGCGTGCAGTAGAACTATTTCAAATTTCTTCAGCTTTACATATAAATTGAAGATTTGCAGCGGCTGAAAATGTTGCAGCGGCTGAAAATGAAACGGCAAAATGACGGTTGTCGGCGGCAGGCGGGGTTTAGAGCCGATGATATCTATGGCATGTTTCCCCTGGAATTTCATTTCACAGACCATTTCTCATATATGTGTCGGCGAAATATACCCCCTGCTTCTATTTTTGCTAAAATATGCATATTGATAGGTAACAGTGTCATAGACCCTTCAAATATGCTGCACCTTTTATCTTCCAACACTGCTTCCCTACCATCCAAAAGCGATCAATCAATTGGCTGGGAAACTTCTCGATACTAGGGCAACTGAAGTATTTAGCGAAGTATTATCGTTAAGATTTTACTGCTGCTAATAATTATGCCTCACAGCAGAAAAATACCACGTGGGTGAGTTTAGCTAAACTGGACGCAATCATAATGCAGGTCTCTGCAGCTGTTTTCTTTGTGCACTGAGGCTGCCATCATACTCCACAAGAACGTTGACAGCCCACACGCATCAGAAGTACGCAACTCTTCGGAAGCGTTGGCTAGGAGCTATGAGCTAAAGTGTGAGTACTCGATGATTGGCGTAGATTTTAGACGAGTTCTTTTATATTGCATTATTTTGCAGTAAATATTGGCGTTTATTGCCATAGATATCTGTAACTTTTTAAAATCTTATCATTAAAAAAAGCTGAACGTCGTGTTTCGCCAACGCAGGCGCTCCGAACGAGTGCAACAGACACCAAATTGTGGACGACTTGCTACGTTGCTTTCATTCAAGCCCAGTTTTTTCTAACTGCAGGTGAGAAAACAGTGTGGTGAATAATATTGCAACATGTTTAGAAACGTCGCTGACGAAGTTTTTCCTACAACTTCCTTATTTTCCTGAAGGCGGTGGTTTCATTCGCAACTTTTTCTTTTTTTACGCCCAACAGATATTATCGCGTGATAGCCCCGGAAGAAGTGCATATGTACGCAAAGGATCTATTGCCCCTAGCTTGCTCGTGAAGAAGACTTCAACGCTGAAAAAACTACAGTAAATGCGACTGCTGCCCGTGCTTCGAAGCATCAGGGCCGGCGGGCAAGAGTGTGCAGCGAGGCGGTGTTTCCGCGTAGTCAAACCCAACTGAAACACGCATAACGTGTTCTCGTGCGGCAGCATGGAGCAATGCACTTGCAATCGTAAACTTCGCGTTATGTTTCGCTTGATTTGCTGCATTGTCAGATGCTGAGATGCTTAGACGAAGTGCCCTCTCGGGACTAGAATATACCGTTTCGCAGCACGGCCATGCTTTCAAAACCAGCGATATAGCGTTGGGCATTTTCGTCATACGTGCATGTATACGTCGCATTAGAAGGCGGGCTTCTGTACGCCCCCTACCTAGTGCGTCTGCGCGCGCAACAAAAACGTAATCGTAGCTGTGTGCAGCGATGGAGCAACAAAAGTGTACACTATTGAAGCGGCAAATATGAAATGTTTAGCTCCTTCATTCTGAATGCCACCCCTGAAAACGTTTTTCACTCCCCTGCCCCCTAATATTCCAAATCCTGGGGACACCTCTGGCTTTTGATCAACCGTGGCTACAATTCAATGTTAAAAGGCAGCAGCCTCAAAATTTCACATCGCAGAAGTTTAGAAAAAAAACAATGTGCTTTTCATTTATCTGATATGCTTACTTATCTATGTAATAAAACACGTTGAGGTGAACATTCAGTGGTTGAGGCTTTCTGTGTGTGCTACATCTATTTACCGTTACGTATAAACCGAAATACCCAAATCTTGAGTCAAATGAGCACAACATCTTGCATCCACTAGCCCCGCCACGGTGGTATAGTGGCTAAGGTACTCGGCTGCTGACCCGCAGGTCGCGGGATCGAATCCCGGCTGTGGCGGCTGCATTTCCGATGGAGGCGGAAATGTTGTAGGCCCGTGTACTCAAATTTGGGTGCACGTTAAAGAACCCAAGGTGGTTGAAATTTCCGGAGCCCTCCACTACGGCGTCTCTCATAATCAAATGGTGGTTTTGGGACGTTAAACTCCACATATCAATCAATCAATCAATCTTGCATCCACTCAGATAACCGATGCAGAGAACGAACTTGCAGCTGATGGTTTCACACTTCGTTTACGTCGTCTTTGGTTTATCGAAATTTGACGTCGTTTCCCGTCCTTCGTGAATTTAGAAGTACTGCACCAATGAAGGCAAGGTTACATCACTCGGAATGGGGGCGACGCTGCAGCAACTTTCTTTGTATGCACGCTGAAGAATTTTGTTTGACCGCTGATTCACGTGCCTGGAGTAGCCCTTAAGAGTAGTAGTGCTGTTAGAAGTTCGCTTGTTGATGCGCTAAATTGCAGAATAACTGTTTATAATCGTGCTTCTCCGACTACTGGAGAGGATAGCAAACACGCCGGATCGTTCTACAGCGGCGTTCAGCTTGGGTTTTATTTTATTTTTTAGCTGCTGATGTAATATACGAAGCAAGTAAGCTCACGCCACAAAAGCCGAATATTACACAGTTCCACGAGGGCATCCGCAGCAGATCTGCAGACGACCAACTAAAATTGTTGATTAAAACATTTACTGCTACGTAACTACCTCATTCCTGGTTCACGTAAGGACCACTGTTCTCATTACATTGTCAAATGTCGTGCTACCCTTGCAGTGTGGCACTCAAAAGCAACGTCACCACACTTTCCGAACCATGCCTGACGGAGGTCTTCAAGGGTCACGCCTGCAGCAGAAAAGTTGACGTGGTCTACGTCGCACGAGAGCTGTTCATGACCAAAGTGGAAGCGCACAAACGGGACTGCAACATGCTTAGATGTAAGCATATACTAACCTCGCTGGAATTTTGCAAAGGTGCAGACAAGGAAGTGTGCTTATCATTCATGTGATGTTTTCGCTCACAGCCCAGTACCGACAATGCAGCCAAGACGAGTTCGCAAGCTTCCTACAGAAGTGCTACGAAACCTTTTTAAGGGAAATTACCGGAAAGTCTATAGCCACGCCTAAGTTCTGCAGGTAAAAACAAACACACTTTCTTCGTGTAGAGTCTGCATGGTGCTTTCACAAGTGTAGGAGTCAATGAATATTTGTTAATCTTTTCAGCCATTCGTTTTACTGCTTTATTCGTATCTCTTCTGTACGCGCGTGCATATACGTATGTGTATTTAACCCAAAGACAAGTTATACCTCAGCGTTCGATTTTGACTCACGATATCATGAGAGCTACTGTATTTTTGTGCCATAGGAATAAACCTTGTGCAAAATTGCTGCCATCTGCCGGCCGTCGTGTGCATATCGCCATGTTAGAGGCTCGAGCACAGTGGAGTACGCAGCACAGTCAGCGTTTGTTTACCTATGCGTACACGTAAGGCGTATCGACAAGAGGTGTGTATTAGCTGATAATCGCAATACCGACGTATTGCTGCATTCCTCGCTGCACACGAAAAGGAACTCGAAATGCTGAAGAAAATAAGGTAAGCCGTAAACTTTTCCCCTTATTTTTTCAAGCTGATGATGTTTCCAGCATGTGCTCTGGCTACTCCTCCCGTAACACGGGTTTGAGTTCTCCTTTCTAAGCAAGTAAGACGTGCAATAGCATTTGTAGTCTTGTTCCCTCAAATTGCTGCATGCCGAAGCAAGACAGTTTTTGGAACGTTTTCACTAGCAGCCATTTATAAAGTGAAGGTGACTCGTACGCTTCACGCAGAAGCCACGTTCACGCAACAAGCTCCATTGCGGCTGATTACACCTGCCGGCAATTCGTCGAGTTTGCCGAGCACATCGAATCCTTGAAAAACGTTCGCAGCCATGCACAACTCATTTCGCGAAACGGCAGCTTGTCACACTTCAGAACAGAAAACGAAACATGAAACAAAAATGCTTTAACACCGTGGCTCTCTTCTCAGAATGAACCAATGACGCACACTTGCTCCTAATTCAGCGTGTGCCGTTACCGAAGCGTAATAAAACAACACATTAAACGGAATGTGGACGCGCGCAATTACCTGCGATTAAACTCGTTGCATGAACGTGGCATGCGCGTGAAGCGTACGAGTCGCCTTCACTTGTTAAACGGCTGCCAGTGAAAACGTTGCAAAACCTGTCTTGCTTCGGTGTGCAGCAATTCGAGAGAACACGAGTACATAAGCTATTGCATGTCGTACTTGCTTTGAAAGGGGAACGCAAACACGTATTTCGGGAGCAGTAGCCGGAGCGCATGCTTGAAATGTCATCAGCTTGAAAAAAAAATAACAAGGAGAAAAGTTTACGGCTGATCTTTCTTCCTTCGGCATTTCGAGTTCCTCTCTTTGTGCAGCAAAGGACGCCGCAATACGTCTGCATTGCGATTATCAGCCAATACACGCCTCACGTCGATATGGCTTACGTGTGCGCATACATAAACAAACGCGGACTGTGCGTACTGCACCGCGCTAGAGCCTTTCACATGGTGGTATGCACACGACAGCCGACAAATGACAGCAATTTTGCATAAGGTCCAGAGGGTTTGATTTGGTGCTTTCACTAATGCTGTATCACTATACAATTGAGCTTTCACTAAAAGAAAGTATACACCGCCTGGAGCGGTCAAACTGTTTTTGAAAACGGAACAATAATATATGTCGATAGTCGTCTAGGAGTAACCTCGTATTGTCGTCGTTCTGGCAAAAAGCTAACACACTCGTTATATGACATACATCGTTATAGTTCCGGCTCTGAATCAAGAAATACGTTATTCGATAGTGTCCCGTGAATACCCCCGATGTTTTCTTAAGCAGTTAGTTGTCAAGGGCAGTACGTGCGTTCTTCGGAATGCCCCCCCCCCCCCCCCCTCTACTGAGGGTGCCCGCGTGGCAAGTGTTCATTTCTCTCTAGCGGCAAATTATGTTGTCAATTCAATAGCCCTTCCTGTCGTTCTCTGTCTTTCATGCGTAGTTTATGTTTTGTTTCCTTCACGTTTCTTGGCATTTTACCAGGTGAGCTGAAAGCTATAGATATGAGGCTTGTTTATTTTTTTGATACATCTAATGACAATTATGCCCCTGGGATGCCCCCGTCATTCGAGGAGCTTCCCTGTTTGTAGAAGAAAAAATATATACTTCTACTGCGCAGCTCTAACGGTAAACTTCAAGGTATAAGCATGCTGAAGGGTTTCGAACGGTCTCATTTTGCGCACTTCGGCATGTGTTTTATACGCGTAGCATTCAAAATTTGTTTCTTACATTGCCAAAAAATAAATTAAATTACATAAAAACACGTTTCATTTTACTTAGATTGTCTAATTGCTTATAAGTAATAGAAAGTTAGTGAGCTTTTCAAATCCGACATCCCTGTAGTTTATGGCTGGAGATTATCGAGCTGAAGTAAGACTACCTATTCTCTTCTCCTAGTAACTGTTGCATCTGTGCATCAAGTGGGGCTCTAGTGCAACAGAGTCTTAGCAAATTCGAATAGCTATTGCATTTCATTCAACTTTGATTCATTCTAGAACGTACCACAAGTACGGAACCTGCGTTGACGAAGCGAGTGCTGAGACATCCTGCTTTAATGTGACCATGATGCAAGCCCCTTATGAACTCAGCCTGCGCAATTTCACTTCGAAGTACGGACAGGTGTGCACGCAGTACATTCGCAGCATGAAAAGCAACGGCTCATTTTCTTTCTGGCACCGCAAGAACAGCCGAAACAAGCACACCTCTTCCGATGGAGAAGCTTTCATCTCTGGCAAGTCACCGTCGACTGTGCTCCTGTTCAGCCTTGTGGCCGTGGCCGTGACCCCTCTTTTTTTTTCCTCATTCACCTCCTGAAACTTACCATGAAACTTGTTTTAAGTGTCTGTGTGTGTGTGTGTGTACAATAAAACCTTTGTACATATACCGAAGTTTATTCCGTTTGCGTTGAGCATGTTTGTGCATGCAGTTCAAGGAGCAGTGGCGACTTCTGAGAGATGATCACTCTCAGCCTTCTTTAGAAAAAATCGCGCGTTCAACTCAAGAGACATACGCGTCAGTAGCGAAATTGAAACACGCCAGAAGTCTCAACGTGAGCGAGCTTGCTCCACTTGTTGGCACATGCATCTGTGGAATATATAGTATTTGCCTGCTCAATAAATGCATCGATTGTGTTTTTAGAACGGCGGGATTTTAAGTGGGAGGCTAGCCCGAGAACAGCTTATAGTGAAGCTCAAGCCGTTGTGCGTAACCACACCTACTGCACATGCGCAACAGCTCCGAGATTCGGGCAGCTTTTCGCTAGGTGTGGCGGTGAAGTAAATATCATTGTCAAGTCATCGGTAAATAGGATAAATGGCTTAATATTGCATAAGAGGAGTAGCAAAGAATAAACGGAAGGAAAGGGAGGTTAGCCATTTCTTATGTAGGAATCGATTCGGCACCAGCAACGTTAATTGAGAAGCGCTATTGATCTTAACGTCACCGCCAATGGTGGCGCAGGTTTTGCAAGTAGATGGTGTGTGCATAAAATGGGAGCGATGATGACCTGCAAGCGGTGCGAAAACACGCAGGCTTCACGAGGAAAATTCTTGAAAGAGATCAGCGTTGTGTAAAATTTGCTTGCGTCGCGCCGAGCATTTTTAAAGGCATTCCATGTGGCACAGTAGTAAGTGCATAAGGCTTCGGTTCTAGGAGCCCAGAGTTCAAATCCAGTGGTCCGAATGTTTTTACCTATGTTAACTTATTTACTTACGAACGGATGCTGCCGTTTCTGTGACATGTGCTGCACGCATTCGCTGCTGCGCTCATGCCACAGGCTTCAAGTCCGCCTCAAGGGACCATAACACGTCTACCCACTAAATTAAAGTTTCCAGAAAAAAATAAAAGTGCAGGGTCTCACGCTTCTGTACATATATAAAAAATGGACTGTAAAAGAATATTTCAATGCGAAATGGGCCCTAGGAGTCATCGACTTTACACCCAACCCACCACCGACAACTGCCGTTTTGTCATGGCGTGTGTGACGTCATGCACTTCACAAAGAGGGGTCAGCGTCTCCTACTTAAGCATCGGCTGCTCCAAATCACGGTGAGTCAGTGGCTAAAGTGCGCGACTGCTGACCGAAGGTCGCGGGTTTGATCCCGTCTGCCACAGTCGCATTTCGGGGGAGGTGAAATGGTAGAGAGGTCCGTGTTCTGTGCTATATCAGCGTACAATAACGAACACTAGATGGTCAGTTCGCGGCACCCTCCACTATGGCACCTCTCATAATCTGCTTGCCGTGCAGCCACCCATCCGTCCTTCTTTGCCTCGCATGAATATTGTGCACAATCAACAGATCAACTTCATTTTTTGTATTCACTAGCCCCGCCGCGGTGGTCTAGTGGCTAAGGTACTCCACTGCTGACAGGCAGATCGCGGTATCAAATCCCGGCAGCTTCATTTCCAATGGAGGCGTAAATGTTGTAGGCCCGTGTGCTCAGACTTGGGTGCACGTTTAAGAACCCCAGGTGGTCGAAATTTACGGAGCTCTTCACTACAGCGTTTCTCATAATTATATGGTGATTTTCGGACGTTAAACTCCCACATATCAATCAATCAATGTGTTTACTACAACTAAGTAAGCGGCGATAACAGCGTGCAGCCGAGAAGCGCGCAATCTTTATAGGCTCTAGCGCTTAGTGCTGACATTGTTCACATGCATTCAAGAACTAAGGGGCGAGGAGGATGCATCGTGTGTATCAAGGAGAAAAAAAAATCACCCCCTCGTCTTTAAACGTGGGGTGGTGAGTGGCCCTTTAAGGCATGGTTGAGGCATGCACCAAGAGCAGAAACTAGGACAGCAAATAACAAGGCGATGTGCACTGGGCCCGATTACGCTGCCGCGTTCTACTCCTGAAGGCAAAGCTTCAGCGTCCTTCAACTTTTTCTTTCTTTAAAGCCGCATACCGGAATTCATTAGAAGAGTTACCATAACGCCACTCTAGCTTCAGGCAGTGAAATCTGGAAAAGAGCAGCCCAGCTATATTTTATTTTCCTGTTTTTGTTGTTGCCAAGTTTACGACAGAACCCGTGCCGTGCATCAGCATTAGAAACTTACGCGTAGCATCAACATAGGTGGTGGGCAACGTGAGCAGCGTGTTAACCACGCGTTCGCCAGTGGGTGCGCACAACTAGTCTTTGCCTGCGCGCTGCGCGTTTTGTTGTAGTGCCTGCGCACACATCAGTCTGCTGGCAGATGAGAAGGCGTGAGCGCATCGGCTGACATGCATCTGCAAATAACAAAAAAAACTGAGACCTTCTCACTGAAGGGGACCCTGATTTATTTATTTATTTCTCAAATATCCCAGCTTGGGGTTTTACATGAGGGATGGGCGGTTATGTAGTGACAACGACTCGATGTACATCTTGAAGGCTTGCGGGTTGGATTGGAGCACATCATTTCTAGGTAGACGGTTCCAGTCTCTTGATGTGTTGACAAAGAAGGAGCATAGATGCGCAGTGGTCTGCAGTGTGCCGGTGTTAGGTAAACCGCTTTGGTATGATTCGTGCGTCAGGATGGACGATGAGCAGGCAAGATTAATGAAGTGCTAGGAGAGGAATGATAAAATCTGTGAAAAAGGCACAATCTAGACCTAAGGCGGCTGAGCTCCAAGTTGTCAAAATGTGCTTTGGATTTTAGTTTTGTTACACTACTGTGGAAAGAATAATCTGAATAGATGTAGTGAACTGCGCGGTTTTGTATAGCTTCGAGCGCTTTAAAAACGTTAGTTTGATGTGGGTTCCAAGCGGAGCATGCGTATTATAACTTAGGCTGCACGCATGTTTGATAAGCTAACAATTTGACCGATATGGGGGAGTAAGACGCAAGTTCCTTTGAAAGTATCCCAATGTGCGGTTAGATTCGTTAATGATGCTTGTGATGTGAGAGGACCAGGAAAGATCGCTGGAGATAGCGACGCCGAGGTACTTGCATGAGTTGACAGGAGAAATCACAGCGTTGCAGAGGACGTATTGTGGTGAAGGGAGATTCCTTCAGCAGGGGAAGGAAACTAGTACTGTTTTAGTAGTGTTTAGCGGCATGAGCCATTCACTACACATGAACTATTCCCTACGTTGGATGTGAAGCAGCAGCGTTGCGCGCATGTGGCGTCATGGTTTGAGCGGCGCCAGAGCGTGTGCTGCGGTAAGTGCTGGAAGATTCGTTTGAAGCGACGGCTGGCGTAGGTCTTGTAGGTGGCACGTACAGACATGTTTCAACGCGTACGTTAGGCGCGTGTCAGGTTTATTGCGCGTGAACTGCCTAGTCGCAGGTGTAGCGAGAGGCAGTCGCCGCATGCAGGTGTTGCGGGCGAACAGACGACGTGGCCGCGGCGGGTGCCGCAGCGGGCGCGAGGCAGGAGTTTTAGTACTGGGTACCCAAGCAGCTTGCGTACGCAGGACGTTGGAGCGGCGGTATTGCGCATGCGTGAAACCCCAAACAGATGCGTCGCAAGATTGCTGGGGCAATGGGGCCATGCGTCCGCGCGGTCCACCTTCGCAAGAACTCACGGTATCCGCATTGCGGATACTCTAGCCGTCGAGTTAAAATAAGTCAAAGTGCGAGCACTTATAGCAATTACACGGTTTCAGCCAGATTTCCACAGCTAGAATGGCCTGGAACATAGAAACTAAAAGGCATATGCCAGCCCCCGACCAGCTGAATAGGCGGCGCCATCTAGCGCGGCCATAGTGAAACATACAACCACAACTTTGTTATTGCAGAAACAAACATTGTGCATTGTACATCTGGTGCAAAAACTACGCAGCGACAATATTACAAATGAGTAACCTTTTTATTCATTTTCACCTCAAAAACATTACACGTAAGCTAACATTTTCATGACTGCGGTTTCACGAAGTGTCACAAGATGTCGACACTGTCGTTACAGTAACCTTGATTGGTTGATATGTTGGGTTTAACGTCCCGAAACCACTATATGATTATGAGAGACGCCGTAGTGGAGGGCTGCGGAAATTTAGATCACCTGGGGTTCTTTAACGTGCACCCAAATCTGAGCACACGGGCCTACAACATTTCCGCCTCCATCCGAAATGCAGCCTCCGCAGCCGGGATAGAACCCGCGCCCTGCGGGTCAGCAGCCGAGTACCTTAGCCACTAGACCACCGCGTCGGGGCGGTGACCTTGTATTTTTCACTTTTTTGCGTATACCAGATTACTGTACACAATAAAAAAAGTGTCCAGATTACTATGTATGTTTAATTTAACATTTTAAATCATAAAAAGACTTAAATAATACTTACGCGAGAAGACGCTATGGCGCTGCGAGCGCGTGTGAACTTCGTGGGGCTTGCGTTTGCGTGCGTGCCACCGTGGCGCCAACTAAAAGGCATTCCGGTTGGGTATGGGTTGGGCACGCAACGCCGCACGCTCCCAAGCCCGCAACGCCCCAAGGGAATGCGTACCCAGCACTAAAACTTCCTAATGACGTCAGCGCGCACTGCGAAGGGAGCGTGACGTCAACTCGCAGCAGCGGCATGACCTACTTGGCACCGCGTCAACTGTGGCGGGCGGCACGTTGTACGGCGGGGGTCAGCATTTTCCAGGCTAGTCAAAGAGATGCTTTGCATCTAATAAAAGTGCCTACTGAAGCACGGAATATGCGTATAGATAGACGGGAAACAACCATGCATAAACTTGAATTTTTTTGTCGAGAGATGAGGTGAAGCCGATTTAACCAAAAGTTGACACCCACCGCCAACCCTGTTCTAGACAAAACACTTCAACTATATGTTGGTGCGATCCGTGAAAATGTCTGACTGCCTTTGGCAGCCGCGACATTTGTAGCTGGGAATGTGATGCTAGGAATGTGGTTAGCAACTCTGTGCAAAAGAAGTCCATGGTATGTTCTCTCTGCAAGAAGGAATGTGAGTCCCGTTTGGTCACTTGCGCAGCCTCTTGGACCAGCATCATTGACAGCACTCTTTTTGAGACGTAAATGGACAAGAAGCAGCGCAAAATATGGGCACCCGTGTTCATGGTTTGTGTTCATTTGCCTGTTTGAACAAGAGTGCAGCTGAAAAAATATGAAGGAAATATCAATTAATGCGCCAATTGATTTATTACCAAATTATGTTCTCGTGATGAACGTAAGCCAGCTCACTAGCCAACAGAAAAAAAAGTTTAGTTCGTACTAATCGATTCTGGGCCTCTCCCCTGAGCGTACACCAAATCACAAGATCCGCATCTATCTTAACTACACTCTCCACGCCGCAATTTACCACCGTGTATCCGTCGTGGCAGAAAAAGCCCATCATGGTTTGCCGTGAAAATTATAAAAGAAGTATGACAACTTGAACACATTCATTTGACATCTACATTAGTTCAAAACTTTGTTAAAATGTTTCATTTCATTGGTATATATAAAAACACACTGCTTGTGCAATTTTATTTCTCCAACTTCGGCGCTGTTGTCGCACTTGCGAGAGACAGTTGTATCTGAATGTGCTTCACGCTTCTCAGTTTTGATGACGTTTGAAAACAGACACGAATTCTGTGAGTCAGTGGAGATGTGCCCATTGAATGAATAATGGCACGCTGCAAGCACTTTATTTATAACGAATACGGCAATAAATATACGCTGCAGCACACGCACGAAGAGGCACGATGAAGGAAAAGTAAACGATGACGATGAAGATCACACAATTCCTAAAGATGAAGCCAGGGACAACGTCCGTTTCACTTGTGCGTTGAGCCACTTAAGACTGTGCAGTGACGGCCATTTGCAAGGACACGTCGTTGAACATGTTCAGCTGTTCCTCCTGCAAAATTTTAATGGAAAAAAGTAAAGCACGTGCAGTGAGCTTTTGTATTGTTGGCAACTGCGCCACATACTGGCGCAGTGCAGGAACCCTCCATTGAAGCTAACTTTTCATTTTTCAAATTAAGCGCTATTTATTTTTAGTATCTATACAAAAAGAAAGCTGAGTCAAAAGAAATTCATATTTACGCACACATCACAGTCTGCTGTTGTCAAAACAGCCATTTTTTTACCGTTAGAGGGAAGGTGCCTCGACACTATATATATGGAGATCGCAGACAAAAACCTAGTTCGATGTGCTCTCCGGAGGTCGAATATTCTGTTGCAGTAGGTCATTAGAAGAGTTATCTTTGCTCTCTGAAGCATGCAAACATCTCACTTGGCGCTGCACGATTACGTCATGCTTTATAACTGGTGGCCCGATATGGCTTTCTTAGTGACATCTAATTGTGTTGCGCAAAGCATCACGTACCTTTCGTGGCATTTCCTTCTTAGCGCTCATGCATACTTCATCAACGCCCTAAGACACGGTGCAGTATTGACTAAGATTATTCTGTTCTGTCTATTTGTTTTCCCTTACAACACCAGCACATGTATTCATTTACAGCTTCGAGGGGGGGGGGGGGGGTGCATCTCTGGAAGGTAGCGCGGCTCAGCATCTCTGTGTAATTGTGACAATCAGAGTTCTCGTGGGCATTTACATCTGCGACACCACGCGAGTTTGGCTGCAATGTGAAAGCTATCACTGTGTAATATGCAACAAATATAACTGCTTTGCGTGCACTTCAATAGCGGAAACGAATCAAATGAGATAGCATAAACGTTATTTCACTTTTAGCTAGCCGCGATATCTATGTATATTGTATCGCGCCAGTCATTATGTTATAGCATACTTTCCTAAAATATAGCTTTAAAAATACCTATACCAGAGCTTCAGGTCTTTATTATGTATTGATATAACATTGATAAGGCACATATACATCAGGCTGAGATGTATTGCCTATCAAAAATGCCCATAGGTGACAGATATATTAATAATATTAAGTGCTGGAGTTTTACGTCCCAAAACGATGATATGATTATGACATATGCCGTAGGGCTCCGGCAATTTCAACCACCTCGAGTTTTTTATCGTGCACCTTTATCTAATTAGAGAGGGCTCAAGCGCTTTCGCTTTCATCAAAAATAGAGGTGACAGTGAGTGCAAAGAAAGGTAAGCTGGTCACATGAAGTAAAGTGTTCGATAATAACAGTCACATAAGACCATTTCAAAAGGCCGTCAGCAAGAGGCGCATAAAAGAAAACTCCAGACGTGGGGGTTTCATATCAGACTGCTCCGGAGCTAATAGAAAATAATTATGTAAATTTATAATCCTTTTTTAACTATCAAAGGCTTACTGAGAGATTTGTAGACAGCTTTAAGAAACGCTGAACAGTGGTACTTCAAGTAGTGTGGTAAGAGTGCGCCTAATGATTACAACTGATAATTAGTGCATGAGGTTATTTAACTGTGATTTAGGATAAATTTTAGGCATGAGGTTTTCAGGGCCCTAGATTGGGAATAGTTTTAGATATGGGTTAGGTGGGAGTATCACTTAGTAACTTGCAATTCGCTGATGAAATTGCAATAATGAGTAACTCCGGGTCAAGTTAAAGCTCAAGATTACTGAACTGGACACAGAAAGCAGAGTAGTAGGTCTGAAAATAATATGCATAAAACTAATAAAATAATGTGCACCAGTATCGGCAGAGAACAGGGCTTTGCGATAGGTAAAGAGACACTGGAAGTAGTTGTAAAAAAATATGTCTACTTAAGACATGTAGTAACCGCTGAGCCGAACCATGAGAGCGAAATAACTAGAAGAATACGGATAGGGCGGAGCACAGTCGGCAAGCGTTCTCTAATCATTATTGGTAGTCTACCACTATCCCCTAAGAGGAAGATATATAACCGTAAACTGGATTTATTCTAGTTAAACTTCCTACCTTTCTGATATTTTCTCTCTCTCTCTCTCATATATATATATATATATATATATATATATATATATATATATATATATATATATATATATATATATATATATATATATATATATATATATATATATATATATATATAAACAGCTGCGGCTTACTGGTACTTATACATACGAAGCAGAAACCTGGAGGTTTCTCCAAGAGAAGGCAAATTCCAAGAGAAAGCAAATGCGTGGGAGGGAGACAGAAAATTAGGTAGGCAGATGAGATTAATAAATTTGTTCATGTAACGTGGCAGCAGAAAGCACAGGGCCGGGTTGACTGGCAGAATATGGGAGAGGCCTTTGTCCTGCACTGGGCGTTGTTAGGCTGATGATTAGGAATGATGATGAGGATTATCATGGAGGTGAATCCCACACGGATAAATATTTTAAATGTGAATTAAACGTGAGTTAGCGATGAATAAAATATAAAATAGAGCTAAGCTGAATGAAAGAGTAAGTGAAATAAAGTTCATTAAAGGTGTATTAAATGTGAATTAACTCATCGGTGACAAGTCTCGGCACACTTATTAGGCTTGTCGAACTATACTGCTGTTGGTTATTAGGCACGCACACTACGGCTTGCCTTATAATGATATCGGGGCTTTGGAATGTAAAACCTAAGTAAGTGTTGTTAACATTAACCAATATCCGAAGTCCAAGGGGCCGGAACAGAACAAGTAATAGAAATCAACAATGCAATCAACGGAGGACATCAAAGGGATTTATTGAGTGTCTTGTGAGAGCATAAACTTTCGCCTGTACTCTCATCTGCGTTAAATAGAGTAACTGAGCGTACTCCGAATTATAATGACTACGGCGTCCGTGAAAATGACGCGAACGTCTTTGGTGTTTCTAGAAAAGGAATACTTCAACACTACATCGCTCATTTCTACATTACGTTCGAAATTACATAACGCAAGTGCTTCAAAATCCTCGCACATACAAGACACCGCATGAGTACTGCGCGTATAAAAGGCAGAATGACTCTAAGATTTTAAAGCAACGAATGTCATCACGGGCGCCATTTTTTTCATAAAAAAAGCATTTCTCAAAAGCAGCGTATAAACTATTGTATTTATATAATTGTACCACCCGCGGCAATTAAGCGTGATGCCGTGCTTTCGTATTTACTAAAACAACAACAAAAAAGGCTCAATCGCTTTAATCGCGCAGAAATATTGCTGTGGCGTTACCCGGATAAGCTTTGAAATATCGGCAATTTTCTTAGTGAGTTGCGAAATTTTTCTGTTGGCTTCTATTTTTTTGTTACTCTATTGCGCAAACGACCTGTTCAAGAATTACAGTCAAATTCTGGCCGTAGTCATGTTTTTTTCGCTTGATGCTCATCTACGCAGCTAATTAAAAATGCTTAGTTGCACGTTTCTTCCTCTTACACGACTTTATAGCTCCGGTATTCTGTGGCGTTGTGGACGACCATATCTCTGAAGCATCTCGGCTTACAAGGCAGCGAAGGACACGATATATATGCGTTACCTCATAATCTGTTAATTACTTTATCTGGCTTATTTACCTGCAACCATAAAGTGCGCGCAAGCACAGAAGGAAACTTCTTCTCCGCATCATCCGCACTCCTGAAATTAGATATCCGTTCGATGAGGTAGACTTCTTCGCTAGTTCTTTGAACATGCTCCAACAGGAAACAGTATACTAAAAACGACGACGAAGCATGCCAGTGCTTCATTGGGTCTGTTGCTCGTTCCTTGCTTCATCTTCGTTCTTGCCGCGCTTCATTGGACTGGTGCTTGAATGCTCAGCTTTTGATGCCAAGTTTTGCGAATGCGTCTGTAGAACTTTCACTGAAGTTACAATCACGATAGCAAGTTTGCAACGTGGTGATACTACGGCGCCTCTGGACAGGACTCGTTTTGATGCCCGTTTTGCGTCGGAATGCCTTACACAGCACTCACGCGGCCCTGAAGAGCCCATTAAAGTGTGAACACGTCTTGCGGCATCCGCTTCAGATGGTACTAAAACAAGGGTACTCGAGACCCAGTTTGGAATACCAAGATTTCTGGAGCACGGCCATGTGCCTGGATTGTGCAGAAGGGAGCGAAAGCGTTGATATAGCGTACTTAAAAGCCGACAGGTCTCAGCGACCAGCTGTAGACATGGCACGCGTCTTCGAGTGTGCGTGCTATTTGTGTTATTTATATATGTTTCTATACCTGCCCATATCGATTTCTATTTGTGTGTTATTAATAGCTATATATTTCTATTTTCTCTCTCTCTTCTTTTCTGTATTTCTTTCTTCCAGTGCAGATGAGCAAATTGGTCTAACGTGTGGCCAACCTACCTCCCTGTCTTTCCTTGTTTGTCGCTATCTCTCCGACTAACAATCACTCTCCAAAATTTAGAAAGTAGTCACCAATCCATCATGTTCTCACGCGTTTTCCGAGAGTCTAGGGAAAATTAGACCCTCTCCAATTAAATGTAAACATGTGTAGATGCGAAGCAGCGGGCACTAACGCTTACACTGGCGGCGGCGTTGACGCTGGCGTTCATCGCGGCGTTGCGCAGGAGAGAAACCTGGGGATGCACAAAGCATGCAGTAATAAACCGGTGTTTTCTACTAGAACATGCCAATCACTGCTAATAGGCAATGGGAGACAGAAGGCTCTGATTGGACGCAGAGACCCGTAGTCCGCTTTTAGTTGGTGTGCACGCTTCGAATATTCATTGTTCAAGAGTGCACAGGAGAAATCTCTCACCAGCACTACCTAGAAGGTGAAGATCCAGTGCCTATAGACCTTTTCACTCAAGGCTTCCTGTGCACCACCATAGTCCTCTCTGGGCTGCTGTTAGTGCCCGTGATTCCCCCCCCCCCCCCAACAAAATTACACTGCCTAGACTGTGACGTCGGCTTTTGTACTCTCGTGCAACAGCCCAGAAAGGAGCAAATCCTCCTCTTCGTAAAAAAAGTCGTTTATACGGGGTGGCCAGTGAACGGTTGCGCACCGCGAGCAGTCAGTTTTCTCAATCAAAAAACCAGCTACCAGACTCTGCCTGCGTCAACGTTGCGAGGCGAGAGAGGGAGCGTGCGTAGAAGCGGGGGAGGGGACGCATATGCGCAGTGGAGCACGGGTGCCGCCGGATCAAGCTCGCTCATAAGATGCTTCGCATCTAATAGAGAGCAAATGAATTATAACAACAGCCTTAGCGTTTCACACGCTGTGCATGTGTACTTCCGAATGATTCTGATCATCTGTTTTTTTTCTTAACCTTTTTTCAAGTGCCTTACCCCCGTACTCATGAACGCTTCTCGACTCAAATTTCATCCTTCACTTGATAGATTTGATCGCTGCTCCACCGCTCTACTTAAAATGGCGCAGCACTTCTCAAGAATAGCTGCAAATTATCATTGATATGCAGTCATTTTTTCTGCCCAGAGACGGCGCTCCCATCTACTTTCTCAAGTCAAGGTGAAGCGTTGAGTGAAGGGATGTTCTAGAATACGTGCTGAGCGACGTGCTGAGTGCGATCAACTTGATGCGCTTATTCGCATCATGTTAAAGGTGGTCAAACGAGCCCTTGGCCTCCCTATCACCACTCCAACGCACAAACTCCTCGAGCTTGGCGTACTTAACACGCTAGAAGAGATCGCCGAAGCTCAGGAACGAGTGCAATTGACCCGACTGACCACCACCAAGGCGGGCCACCATATTCTGCGCGAGCGCGGCTTTTTCTCCTCGACGGCCAATGATCCCCCAGAGTTGATTCTGAGTCTCCGTGAAATCTGCGACCTTATCACGATCGCTCCCATACCACGAAATGTACACCCCAAATACAACAGAGGCAGGCGCCTCGTGCGGGTGACCGCCATTCCCAAACGCATAGACATGGAAGCGGACAACGTCTCGTTCGTGGACGCCACTGCCTATCAAAACAACCGAGCCTTCACCTCGGTCGCCGTATCATCTGCGCAGCAGATTCTTAACTCTGCCACAATTCTCACCCGCTACCTCGAAGTAGCGGAGCAAGTAGCTATAGCTATAGATATGCTCGACAGCAAACGGCAACTCATCTACACCGACTCCAGACCGGCCATCAAGGCTTTCGAACATGGAGTCATCTTCGACCAGGTGTTACGTATCATGCGCAGAGCGGACCCGAGTGCCCTGAAGCACCACACTGCCATCTGGTTCCCCACCCATTTCGCCCAGGTGCCCCATCCAACCTCAACGAGATCGCCCATGACGCAGCGCACGCACTTACCGACCACACCGCCAAAGGGCAACACCATCTTGCTGAGTTAGAGACCAATCGGGATGCACCAATAACGTACAATGAAATTACAAAGCACTTTTACTTGGAATGCCGCATTTTCCACCCCCACATCTGAAACTTAACAGACAACGGGCATTAACCATACGCCTGTTACATTCACACACGTACCCAAACCTTGCCACGCTTCACGTTTATTATCCCGATGCATACCCCAGCGACACATGCCCCTCGTGTGGACACACGGCGACACTCGCACACATGCTTTGGGAGTCACTCCTTCCGACTCTACCTCAAACAAGTGGTCCCTCAGGAGCTCACTTCTCGCCGACCAGCAATGAATGGGCCATTCAGCAGGCCCATGAAACGTCCGCCAGGTACTCCCTGTCGGTCCCTACGCGGGAGACGCCCACTACGTGCTAAGCGTATCCTACAGGACTAAAGTTTTTTCATTCCATTTTCTGTGTGCTAGAGCAAGTGGCTAAACTTGGGCGACCTGGTAACGGTTTTTTGCAGAGAAAGCTGTTATGAGATCACTTTTCGGGTTACGAGCAGTTCCATGTTGTCCGCCGCCGGTGTCCTTGCACCAATGACACAGTGGGGTTTGAACCCATGTCCGCTGGGTACAAGCCCAATATTCTACTACTGAGTTACGCCAGTGCTTGTAACTTGTCAAACTTGCCTTAGGCAAGCATGACCTGGCAACAATGGCACAGTGGGGCTCTAACCCGGGTCCGCTGGGTGCCAGCCCAGTATTCTATCACTGAGCTACACCGGTGCTTGTGAGTTCTTGTCAAACTTGCCTTAGGCAGGCTTGATATCAGGAAAGCAATCGCGTTTATACGACTAGACAACAGCGAACGAACAACTAGTCATTGCACAATGCGAATAGCGTAACGAGGGGCCGTCCAATGCTCCAACTCATTACAAAATCTTCTTCTTGTTTCCCTATTAACTGTGGCGCATACCCTCTTCAGACATCATTTCTCATCGTCGTCCGACACTGCATGGGCAATTCTCACAAAATTTCTTGCAAGTTTTTAGCGGATACCACGCTTCTCAGAAGAATGACGAAAAATAGCACAGCGAATGCCGGCCTACTACCCAAAAGCTAATTATTAATGCCCTTGTGGGCACCAAGCAAGTGTACTTGCAGTAGTTACCCAAGGAGTGTTTTGAAAAGGCTCTGAAAGGCCGCTCTTCTAGCTTTCACTGTGACTGCGCTGAGCGCATACCGCGCAGGCCTGGCGTTTTTTCGATTGTGCTCACAGCCACTGAAAACCTATCCCCTCACCAGGTTTTGACGTTGCAAACAGCGAAGAGCGGCTCGTACATCACGCCGTGGTAATCGGGTGCCAAATATCAAATGGCTGCATGGCGATGAACAGCTGAAGCTTAAAATACAACCGAAGCCTCACATGGGACTTTTCTCTCAATTTTCCAGAAAGAAAAGTCTGTACGCAAAAATTCCTTGCTATATCATAAGCACTGACAATTATAATCAGCGACGTTGTATACAACGTCACTGATTGTCTTACGTGACCTACAGACAAACAAAAACGCCAGGAAGTTCAAGATGGAAGCTATAGCGATGAGCAAAAAAGTCGTTAACAGGGATTGTGAGCCGGAGCCGACATCGCACGGACTTGTCTTCCGCAAGACTAGAACTAAAATAATTTCTAGCCTTGAAGAAGACAAGTCCACTTGTCGAAGTTCTACAATACACAACGCTTAATAGCGCCGCTGGGAATGCGTCACGCAGTATATAATAAAACAGAATAAAAGTCCAAAAAAAAGGTGTGGCTTGAAACCTGGACAAAACATCGTTGCTCAGCTCTGATATAGAAGTAGGTAGCAAAAAAAAAAAAAAAAACGTCGCTTGCGAACTCTTGTCGAGGCTTAACAAGGCGGTTTTTATGCACTAGCAGTGAAGCTTGGTTCATGCCAGCATGGCAACACGGCATTTTTATTTGTCCTGTGTGTAAAATTTTGACTTTTGTGCTAAGGAGCTTCGTAGCTGGTGCCATACTTATAGTGCATATAGACAAAGTTCTTAAATGGGCCTGGCAAAGTGATTTTAGGAACAGTTAAGAATACACACCGTAATTCTCTCCTAAGAGCGTTACCTGCGTAAACTTATCATTGTCACATTAACACCATCGAAATGAGCTGTACATGAGTGAAATTGCGCATTTCGCTCTACTGCTCGAAACGAAAATTGACATCTGATCCCTAGCAGGTACCAGATTTGTGACGGAGCCCGCGCGGCTTGATAGAGAAAACAGAGGATATTGTTACCTCGGCTAGAATGCCGATGCAGTATTGCTGCAGCAGGGCGACCGCTTCCCGGGTGTGGCCGGTGCCCATGAATGCAAGGGTAGCGTCTCTGCCGGCATGCTCCCACAGAATCTCCTCACCACCGGGATGCTGCGAAAATCGACACTCTTTGCTTTTGGGTTGCCCGCACAATACCGTCACGAGCCGTGACAACTGAAAAAGCATAATCGAAAGGATCTGTTGCTGAGCTGCAGCGACACGCTGCAACAACACATGTCCCTTTGCAGCCAAGACGATGACACCTAAGTTAGCGTATAAAGTTCAATAATTTGTTTATTGCGCTACTTATGAAATCTCACGTGCTTTTTTTGGCAGCCGCTCATATCCAGCTGAAAAATAACGATGTCACTATGTAGCTGCAAGAAAGAGACGTGAAAGCGCCGGAACAGCTTTTGTGTTTTATTCCCGTACTTATATGTTCTCTAGTTGTGCTTATTTAAGATAGAGATTTTATTTCGAGATTTTATTTCGTTTGTATTGGTCTTTTTTATTCTATGTCTATGGTTTATTTATTGCAACTTCTAATAAGTCGAAATACTACTAGTAACAGCCAAACTAACTGGTTTTTAACATGTAATGGTCTGCGGGACACCCACCCATTTGAATTGAAATTTACCTACATGAATAACGCTCAGAGCGAGGTGCTATAATATTTAGTCTGCTACCAGAAGCTCTTTTCTTCCTCTCTATTTTTTTTTGTCAGAGAACGCCCTATACTATGTTTCGTTGTATATGGCATCTCGTTCCAAATACCTGTTCTATATCTGTGTGAGTGCTGAGACATGTTCCCTTAAATAGCCTCCGTATAAATAGTGTCTGATTTATTTACCTTTTCTTCGATATACACAACGCCAGTAGTTATATACATGCGAGATATGTATATATGAGTGTGCCAGACGTGTCATTACTGCACGGCCTAAGGTGGACCTTCACTTTGGAATTGCCGAGCCCGACTAGCAATCTCTGACGTTGTTCGAGCGACCCTGAATGCAGACGACGTGGCCTTCCCGAATTCACGTGTCACCTGCTTCGGCTGCTACTGTCCGCAGTAAAAGAAATATAATTCGATCAGATATGCCAAGCGAGAGAGCCAAGGCCGTTTGTGGCAGCACGCTGAAACCGTTCCGACGGATCCTCCTTTTCCCGACATCGTGTGCGCCTTACTTTCTGTTTTGTTTGTTTGTTTGTTTGTTTGTTTGTTTTGAGAGACACCGTATCATTCCACAGAAGTGGCCGGAACTGTAAAACGTCTCTTTCACACGCATTGCGATCTCGAATAGTGGTGCAAATCAAAGTAAAAAAAAAAAAGGCGCGCTGTGCTGGGAAAGCTGACATAAGCAAAGCGAGCGAATATTAAGGTGGCCAGCTTTCTACCCGTCCACCTTCCGCACTTGTCCGCTTTTCTTTATTATATTTTCCCTTTTAAAGCACCGTTATCGCGTAGATGGCATCGACGCATAGTGAGCTGTGCATAGCGAGGAGACTAGAATTCAAACACGTCAATTACATAAACAACGTCTCTTTCCTTCAGAAACTACATTGCGATAGAAATAGAAAACTTGCAACCGACGTGCGTGTTTGTATGAGCGGCATTAGCTTGAATAAAGCAGTGATTGAAAATTAACTATACGGTTATCTTTTGGCAAGAAGAAAGCTGCCACGACATGCAGGTGTTTGGAGGAGCACTGGTTGGTAATGTTGCAAGCCAGCTACGTCGGAGAGAACAAAAAAAAAATCCTAGTGAATACTACAGCCGGTTCTGCCTTGAGTGTATTTGTGTTGCACTTGCAGTTTCGGTCACGAGGCCAGAGAAGCAGCAGATTACTAACACACTGGCATATAGAAGTTGTAAAATATGTTAATGTGACCGAAGTTCGATGCTACCGTACGCCCTTCTTTCATGTGTACTACGTTTACACGTTAAGTTTCGATATCTTGCACAGTTGCTCCGCAGACGTTCTTTGTAAATAACTCGAAGACAACATGCACCCCAGGTTATAAATGTTTGAGAAACTCATGCATTTTACACAAACTACGGCTTCACTATTGGCGGTTCGACAGCGATGAACGGTAGCAGGGACCATGTTCCGATAGACGCATGATCACGTCCTCCTTGCCTCTCCCGTCATCCCGGAGTCGTATGTGCGTCTCGAGTGAACAACATACCTTGTTTAGAAAGCTGGTGACGTCGTACACCCTGTTGTGAATGACGATCCACAGGTCATTTTGGTGGCAGTGCTGGTACACGTCCTGCAGCGTGTACCGAGGTAGCTTGCGGTTTCCGTCCCCGTTGACCGTGGCCGGCGCCGTGTCGGGCGGGGGTGTCACGATTGACGCCGCCGCGTTGCCCAGCTGCTGGAGGCCCGTGCTGGCGACGGCCACAAGAGAGCTCAGAGCATCCAACATGCTGAATCGGCTGCACACGAGAGCAAAGGCGAACGCTTGCAGTTTCCGGCGCACCGGCTCAATCCCACTCGGGAGATGGGCTCGCGTAGGAGAGGCACGCGCAGGAGAGGGAAACACTGCGGATGAGAGAGCGACTGCTGAAAGCGAGCGTCGAATAATGGGCGTTCTCCCGTTAGCGCTGACGCAATCGCGCCCACAGACGAGTTTCGCGGTCGAAGAGAGTGAGAAAAAGTTTATTGAAAAAAAAAAAAAGAACGCCCGATGAAGGTGATGTGGTGAGAGAGCATGCACCGGAAAGACGGCCTTAGGTAACGCTCGACGAGTACGTCGGCGTCGGTGGAATGAATACAATTAGCGTGAAACGTCAATTTATCGCCGTAAAATAAAAAGATCACGGCCGATCGGACTTCGGGCAAACTAGCAAGGAATCTGTTAAGGGAACGCTATTACGTATGCTGCCGAATGGCAGAACGTGCAAGCACAAGATGAGTAGTATCGATCGAGTTTTGCGTGAATGCGTGTTCGGAACGATCATGTGATAATCCTTTGTCACCTCAATTGATATAGCTCAATGTAGTTGTCACTCACACCTACGCATCAGGGCGGTATGACCCCTTACAGCTTCTTACACCTGTATTTATTTATTTATTTAGTTAGTTAGTTAGTTAGTTATTTAGTTATTTATACTTAATTCTACCCTTATGATAAAATCTTGTGTCGTAATATATTTTGTGATACTTAGAGACAGGGTTCCCTGCGACTGGCCACTGGTTGATGCTGCTGCGGTGGTTTCATAAAATGTAATGCGTGGTGTTAATGCACACCAAGAATCAGGCTGCAAGCCTGTGCCTCGAGCTTTTTTTTTTTCGTTTATTATGGGGTTCTGAGGCCTACTCAGTGTGTAGCACTACCGTCGAAGGGTCAATGAAATGCGATGAGGGGTGCGCTGGCTTGATGCCTAACCGAAGACGCGTATGTAGACTGGCCATCGGCCAACGCTAGGTGTTTCTCTCTTTTTTTTTTCACCCTACCGGGAGAGGAGTTATTCCTACATTCATTCTGACCACGCACCTGCAATTCGATCTCACTCATACGTGCTCGGTTTGCTGACATGCGTCAGTTTGGTTTTGCTCCCATTATCAGACGGCGCCCTGCGTCTATTCATATTGCGACTAGCAGCAGCATTACATCCGAGGCGATATTTTAGGCTTAGCAGCCTTACACTAAGCGCTAAAAGCACGGAGAACGTGACTAGCATTTATGAATACGTAGCATGCAGGTATGCTTCAGGAAAGTGCTGCGCTTTTTTGCATTACGTTTTCCTTCGATATTAAATAGTCTAACAAAAGCAACTACGCAAACGATCGCTGTGAAAAAAAATTGCCCGCAGCTTCCCTCGGGGGAACACTGAGGAGGATGCGGAGCATATAATTGGTTAACGGGGTGTTAAAGTGCGACTTGCTTGGGTCGCTGGCTAAATTGGTTAACGTGGTTGTAGGAGGGGTGTTAAATGAGTGAACACGTACGACACGTATTCGAAAGGGCGGTGTTTATTTATTGCGACGAACTTTGAGCACGATGGCTTTTTGGTCGGTAAAGTGAAGAGTGAGTGGATCGGGTTGCAGCGGTCGTAGGTCGAAATTTGCAAAGACGTGGACGATGCAGGTACCGCGAATGGTGGTCGGCTGGTGGTGTTTGCAGTCGTCGTGCGTTGCGCGTTTCAGCGAGTGTCGCGACGCCATGTATTCGACTATCCAATCGTCCTTGATGACGTCGACGTTGAAGTCGCCAACTAGCATGAACGGTCGATGTTGCGGTTGTTGTTTTCTGTAATCTTGCACGGCCTCGTCTACGTACTTTTGTACGGCGGCACGAGAGAGGTTTGGCGCGAGGTACATCGTCATGACGTCGACGCCACAGACGGTAGCAACGCAGTGCTCGCCGTTGGCGCGTTGTTGAACGCCGGGCTGTAGTCGGAGGTCAATGAAGTCGTCGTCGTCGTTGTCAACGTCACGCTTGACGTAAATTCCCACACCGCCCGCAGGTCGTTGGAACCCGTGCGTGCGCGCGACCGAAGCGTATCCCGCAACGTCGACGTTATTGGCGTTCCACGTCTCGGTGAAGCAAAACACGTCCACTCTGCGTAGTACGGGATCTCGCACGACGTCAACCGCGTGAGCGCCTAGCGACCGGGTGTTGAGCAGTGCCAGGGTGAAATGGGACTCGGAGTCAACGTCTTCGAGCGAGCGACAGTATCGTTGGGTGACGGTGTCCAGTCTAATGTTCGAGAAGGGGGAGGAGCGCAACGGCGCATGCGCGCGCGTCAGCTGCCGATGTTCTCGAAGCGTGACGGCGCATGCGCGCTACATTATACAGCTAGCGAATGTTCGTGAAGAGGAGAAGCGCACGCGGTGTGTAGAGGAGGAAGGCTGCACAGATGGTGGAGGAGTGAAGCGCGCGCGGTGTGTAGAGGAGGAAGGGATGCACAGATGGTGGAAGAAGAAGGAGGAAGCCTGCGGACGGCGCCGCACTACAAGCCTCGAGTATTAGATGCTCCGCATCTAAAAAATATTTCACAGCCTTCACCACAGGTACAGTTTAGAGTGCGACTTAAGTCGCATGTAATGTGTGCTGCCGTATAAGTATTCTATCTAGGTACTCAAGTGAGGTTACAGGCTAGTTAATGAGGCCGCCTGTGATCTTATACTACACAGGCTATAGTTCGACTGAACGGTACGTCAGTACGAGACATTCCCTATATATTTATCATATTTATTTATATACACGCTAAAAATAGTGCCGCCTTTGTGTTCGCATCTATTTGAGTAAGTGTCATATCAGAGCTACTAGTTACTTTATGGTAAATCATGCCCGCAAATAGATTTTAGGGGACATGTCAGTCGACCTGTCATTCATGTGTCCCAAAGGGAGCAATGCCCAATGAATCCTGCAGCCCGCCGAATCGGACAAAAGTTATGCATGTCACACCGTTTCACGGTAACGCTGAGCGGAGCACAATTTTTTAGGAAACCCTCAGTTTATTCAATTATGTCAGCTTAAACAATCAGCACATTCAAGTTGTGTTCGAGTAACCGTCTTTCACGCGTCGTGCGCCCCGTACGCCAATCGTGCCGAATGTCTACGACTAGCTGGGATTATAGTTGACGTGGCTGCCCAAATAAACCGCTTAGCCATGCGGGCAGGCTTTACATATCTTTACGGTTGTACTCTGCGGGGAAGTTCCTTGACTAAAAACAAATTCCAATGCTTTCCCGGGTTGTTCACCTATCAGCATCACTCTATTTGTACTTCCAAACTTCGTGGCCGGAACTTCGCTAAAGACCGCGATTCGGTACGGCAACCGCTTTTCTACCATTGTCTATATATTACTATACATGTACACGACTACACACAGAGTCTGTTCTAATCTAAACGCGAGTATACGCCACTACTTTAAAGTGTATGCGCGCATGGAGCCCCCGAAAGCACCCTCGAACACACCGACGTTCCCACGCATACGGTGGCTCGCTGCCGTTCAGCTATGGGTGACCTGCGTTATCCGCGCCTGAATCAAAAAACGTATGCATCGTACATTCCAGCCGACACGAGATTCCCTCCACACCGCGTCAGTGAGGCGCACGTTGTGCCGGGGAACGCGGCCCGGCCATCAACTCGTAAGCGAAGGGACACTGCTGGAGATCTGCCCAACTCCGCCCATAAGTATCATCACCCCCGATCCTCACACCCGATGACCGCTTATTTATTATGCCACTGACGGGCACAAATGTACGTGAGCCCAGATTTCTCTCTTCGCAAAGCTTCATTCGCTGGCGATCGCAAGACTTTATGTGCCAGGCCGCGATATCAACGGGGACCTTTGGTCGCGCCACCGATATCTGTCAGCTCGCTCGTTAATTTTTATGCAGAAACTCGCTCGACGTAAGTGGTGAGCAGACTCATCCGCTTGCTACCTTGGCCTGGCTGCGAATCGTTGAGCCGCTGCCAAGTGCGCTTTACCGAGTGTCTGAGATCGTCTGGTGCGAAGCACCAAGAGTTTCTGTCTTGTGCGTGAAGCTCGCTTGTGCGATTGTCCTGCGAACCTGAGATGCGCTAGAGGTGGTGTCACGTTTTCGGCGTGTCCGACACTGAGTAAAGCTACGTAAACAGGTGTACAGGATGCTAGGTGTACACAACAGGCCAACAGAAACTAATGTACGGCACATCACAATGCGCTATACGCGCAACTCAGGCGACCACTGTCACTGTAGCTTGGCAAGCGAAGATGAAAATAAAGAATCTCTCGTGCACGCGGCACATTGATTCGGGCGGCCCCTTCGCTCTTTTGCAACAGTGTTGCGTAATGCGAAGGCGAGATCACAAATATAACGACAAATCTATTGAGCACCGTGCGGGGAGTCGCTGTCCTGGCACAGACAAGAACGGGAGAGTGCAGCGGGAACAAGCGGCCCACTGTATTTATAGCAGTCCAACAGGCCCAGTGAGATTCGTTGTCCTTCAGAGACTGTCGCGCTCACCGTTCTGGCGGTCTCTCAAGAACGACTTCCTCCAGAATGAAAATGATAGAGCAGCGAGGCTGCAACTCCCTGAAGTGACTCGAGGCAGCAGTGTCGCTGTAATTGCTGTTTTATTAGCGACACATTCTTCCTGCGCCTCTCTCTTTTCAGAGGGACTGTCGGCGTTGCGGGTTGCATTCACACTTTTTTGCGCCACGGGTTTCTTCGCAGTCTCTGCTAGCAATCCGAAACGAAAGCCCCCCTCCCCTACTCCCCGAAAAGACTTGGCACGGGGGCACATTTTGTGTTTATCACGCCCAGTGCGCCTACTGCACCTTGACCACTGATTTGCTGACGTCAAGGTCACACTCGGTGCCGCGGTACCGAACCAACCGATCACGCAATCGCCTCAGTCACACCGCACCAACGTTATCTTTGTTCAGAAGAAAAGGAGCAGTAAGGGGAGCGAGAAAACGAAAGTGGAAAATGCGCGTAG